TTATTATTTTAATACAAAAGAATCATATTTGAAGCAGCAAAACTTGGATGCTCAGAAGCCAAGCGTAACGAGTAGATTTCACTGAAGAACCCAACACAAAGTTAGGCCTCCTTACATGTTAGCTTCTCATCAACGCATCAAATTTTTCCCACTGAAATACTGAAATTGCAACGCAAAAAAGAATAAAAGAATTCCAAGTTATAAAGAGTGCTAATGGATACCAGAATTTACCCACGTGTAATTATTCCTTTCGAATTCCATTTTCCGAGAGAAAAATAATTAGAAAATGAAAATATTGCTACTATGAATTTGAAGGAAAGCAAAGAGAAATCCAACTTCCTACAATCGTGATAAGTAGCTCTCTCTATAGGCACCGTGCAAAAGTCAGCTTGTCATTGAATTTAGAGACAAAGCCACCGTATCTGAAAAAAATGCCGTATTCGAGAAGAAAATTACAATAGATAATGTGACCAGTTTATTGTATCATGAAACAACCAGAATGGGTTTCATGGATCTTCAAACCAGCACAATTTATATAGGCTCTACGCGGCAGACGGGTTACCATCAAAAGGGCACCTGCTGCTGACTCATAAACAGAGCCGATACAAATCTATCATAAATCTGATTGCTCTTCAGAGAAAAAGTGAAAATCAGTGATTAAAAACATAATTCTGCAAAAAACCAATCATACTTACGAAGTAGTACATAACCAGCTTGAGAGATGAGGCTTTAAACTTTTACGGCCATTAGGGCAAAGCACAGGATGAGATTGTCCAGATTGTATATGGGCGGAATATATATAGAGCAGCGGGACCTGACCCCCTCAAAACCCTAAAAGAGTGAATTTATTTACTGTGAAGGACAGGGATTAGGCTTTATTGCAAATGAAGCCAAGGACTAATGTGTGTGATTCTTTTCTTGCTTTCATTTTTATTTCCTCCCATTAAAAATATCGGAAAAAAAGCTCTACTTAAACCTTTCGATTAGTGTAAATTTTGATGTTAATTTCGGTAAGTGAAACTTTGAGTCTACAATCTGTTTAAATATGTTAATCTTAATCCCCGAATACATTGACAAATCATCAATATGGAGTATTATTGTTCCAAGTCATTTGGAAGTAATATTCGATTTTAACATCTACATCAATGGTTCCCGTTACTTAAAAATTCAGATTCATATGTATAAAATAGTTAAGTGACCACTTTTAAAAGTTAGGAGTCCAAAACCATGCTACGTAAAATATTAGGGAGTTCAACCTAATTTTCTCTCAAAAAAATAAAAGAAAATTATATCTCGTTCTCAGACTCCGTTTGGTACCCATTTTTTTCAAAATGCATTTTTTTCTCTCTTCTTTTCAATCATACATTTTTCATTAAAATAATATTACACGTAAATAAAAAACTTTTCCTTATTTTTTAATCACACATTTCCCATCAATTTACTATTTCAAAATGCATTTTTACATAAAAATGATACCAAACACCCTCTTAATCTTTCAGCAAAAGTTAAGATAAACCTCCAACCTTTTGGAAATATAGGTAGACTTGATCGTTTTATATAGTTTTCATTCATTTTGATCATTAACATCGCATAAAATGACATTAAAAAGGGATAAATCAGATTAGGGATCCCGAATCTTTCTAACATCTCGTTTCATGGGCGTTGACCAGAAAATATTATATTCACCGACAAAAATAGAGACAAGATGTCTTGTCTCATCTTGATGATAGGGGCAAACCTAGGAAATTTTTTCAGTGCGGGCAATATTAGTAATATCAGAATCGTCTCTATTTGGCATCTCCTCGTTAACATTTTTCGCAATCTTAAGACCAGCCGAAATACAGATCTCAAGTGAGCTCTAATGACACCGGAGAAGCAATATCACAGGGCTTAATGACGAGTTTCCAGATAGATTCTACTTCCTATAGATTGTTATTATATGATAATCAGCCACATCAATCCAGCAATGAATTTTCATCAATGTTTTAAAACACGGTCCGGACATCGACTCGAAGGGTCGAGGGTCAAAAGGTTCAATCGGGGTCGAACCAGAGGTGATAAATAAATATTTATAAACATTTAAATTTTATTTTCACAATTTAAATTTTATTTTCACAACAATATATAATTAAATTTTTACACCATCAATTCAAAATAAATACTAATATGTCAAATGTATGTTTTTAATATAAATTTTAATTGTTTTTATTTTTTAGATCACTTAAAAACTCATTTCAGTTTTACAAAATAATTCGTATGATTAAAAAAATATTTAGCAATCTATAGAAATTGAGTAATTTAATTGTGTAATCATGCACCACGTCGCCATAAATAATATTGAAAAAGTGTGCTTTATTGAAGTTTGTCAATCCCATGTTGAAAGTGCATTGAAATTATGTTTTATTAAATTTTATCAATAACACATTGAAGGTTTATCAATTATGGAATTCAAGAAATGATTATAAAAGAGCTCCATAGGTGAAGAAGTGAGTATATGTGTTTCCGTCTTTAAGGTAACCTTTTTATTTTATAGATTTTTATATATATAAAAAAAAAAAAAAAAAAAGATGTGAAAATCGGTCCAAAACTGTAACCGGTTCCCGATTTTTGGTTTATTTGACCAGTTTTCCGGTTATTAAATAATCGATTAATTTAGTATAACCGAACTAGATGAGGTGATAAATAAATATTTATAAACATTTAAATTTTATTTTCACAACAATATATAATTAAATTTTTACACCATCAATTCAAAATAAATACTAATATGTCAAATGTATGTTTTTAATATAAATTTTAATTGTTTTTATTTTTTAGATCACTTAAAAACTCATTTCAGTTTTACAAAATAATTCGTATGATTAAAAAAATATTTAGCAATCTATAGAAATTGAGTAATTTAATTGTGTAATCATGCACCACGTCGCCATAAATAATATTGAAAAAGTGTGCTTTATTGAAGTTTGTCAATCCCATGTTGAAAGTGCATTGAAATTATGTTTTATTAAATTTTATCAATCTCACATTGAAAGTTTATCAATTATGAGATTCAAGAAATGATTATAAAAGAGCTCCATAGGTGAAGAAGTGAGTATATGTGTTTCCGTCTTTAAGGTAACCTTTTTATTTTATAGATTTTTATATATATAAAAAAAAAAAAAAAAAAAGATGTGAAAATCGGTCCAAAACTGTAACCGGTTCCCGATTTTTGGTTTATTTGACCAGTTTTCCGGTTATTAAATAATCGATTAATTTAGTATAACCGAACTAGATTTTGGTCAGATTCTCGATTTTACTGGTTGAACTGGTCGGTCCGATCCGATTTTACAAACATTGATTTTCAGGGACCAAGACCATACCCAACTAGCTATAGGCCAACAGGAACGTATTATTTCCTGTGTCATCTAAATTTTCACCATTTTTGAGAACTTCTACGCCAAAACAACCATCAGCTGGTCACCTACACTTCACTAACAATACTCCTTTTTGGAATGCATCTACGGCAACTATGAATGACGTTTGATGGAGCTTCTTCCCATCTCCATAACCGCAACTTCTTCTTCCCGTCCTCGAATAATTTGCTTAAAATAATTCATAATTGAAGAATCCACAACACTATCGGAATATATTTTCTGCCCGATCCACTGGTCTTGAGAAGATGCTGCCCTAGCTTCAATTGGGGGGCTCCAATTCAAATGTTTGTTTTGCGTGGGGACGTGGGGCTGAGTTGGGAATTGGAATAGAATCAACGGATCATGGAAGGGATTATATTTTCGGCATCCACCTCTTATAATTTGGGCCAATTTTTTGGCCCATTTTCATTTTTTTTAGCCTAAATCGGTAAGTGGGCTGTTGATAAATGTGATCGACCCAAAGTTCAGTGCAGGCAGATCACAGGGCCTTCAATGGGTCCGTCGCCTGATGGTTGGAGTGGGATCGTGGGTATGGAATGAGTGGCGACGGTGCTAGTGGGGGATCAAGGAAGTTGAAGCTTTCTTTACTGTATTTTAATTTTTCATACTTTTCTAACTAAAAGGGACGACTCCTTGTGCAAATTGTGCAATTTAGCCTTCAAGCACTTTCACTGTAGGTATTATTGGAATCGAGGGCCCCTTGACATTCTCACTTTTTCACTTTCAGCTGGACACTTTATGCAATGAAAACCAAGATTCGAAAAAAGTAGGTTGTGGAGTATATAGTGTAGATGTGCGTAATTAGTAAGATTTTTTATTTTAATTGTTTAAATTAACAAATAAATAAAATAATGCATATTTTGAAAACTTATAAGAATTTCTTACATATTTTTCAAGTTTACGATAAAAATATAATTTTCAAAGTAATAAATATTCCAATGTTTTGTTCGTGGACATAAGTCGATACTGTTTTGTTCGTTCGTGAGCAAACCTCACGTTGAATTGAAGTTTCAGATAGATTTTGTTTGTTTGATTTATTTTATTTATTCTATTTTAGTAATGGTTCAACATGTTTTTGGCCTGGACTTTAAAACAAAAATTCGCGCATTTTCCATCTAGACCATACGTGGTCAACATAAAGTTGAAATGTTAGGAGTTTTCTCTATACTTTGTTTCTAGATGGACCTTTCAGAACGAGTAACGTTATTTAATTTTACTGAAATCCCATTTGGAACACATTAATGTAAAAAGAAAAATGAAAAATATAGCCGTTACGAACCCCACAAAGGAGATAGAAAGTCAAATATAGTAACTTAATGTGATGAATAACGGTCATATTTTTCATTTTAATGGACATATAATGAAAAACAAGTAGGGACTGAGATTATAGTTTACAGCCCCAATTTATGTAGCGATTATTTCAATGAACTTAAATAACATTATTCTTTGGACACAAAAGCTAAGCAATTAACCGGTGAAATTGCTAACTCCGCCCTCTTGACCATCGTAATCAAAAAAGTTAGGTTTGCAACGTTTGGTGTACCAGCCTCCACTGCTGAAAGTTGAACTGGTCACCGTGTTGACCCAAATCATTTTTTTCTATTATTCTTATATCCTCAAATGCTAATTTTTCGTCTTCCAATAAAAAATCTTGTAGAATCTCTGGAAAATTGTCATATTAAAATATTCCCTCAAGCACCCATTTTCTTGGATTCTTGATCTTTACACCAGCGCACACATTTTTATACAGGTTTTTTTTTTCGAGATATAACTGGGTTGTTGAAATTTCTGGGAAATGGAGGCAGCGACGAGCCATCGGATTCTTCCACAAATGAATCTTCCGAATTTGAACCATAATTCTACATCGTGAGCTACTTTTTTATGTGTATTCTTATATTGGTTTTCCTATATGTTTGCTGATTTTCGTTATCATTTCTCGAGGGTTTTACGGTTTCTTTGAGCGTGAGTTTACGCGTGGATCAAGCGCAAAAAAAAAAAAAAAAAAAATTTACATTTAAAATGGATGGTCATGGTTAATTTAATGGGCTGGAAGATTAAAAACAAAATTTTCTTTCAATTCTGGGATTTGTAGAATGTTTACCTTTTCTCTTTGCAATTAAAATTGGAAGACAGAGAATGACGTTGTTTCAAAATTAAAGAATATAAATTTTTGAAATGATAATTGATTCAATATATGTACAAGTACATTTTTGCAATTTCATGTATTTTGGTGTGGTTAAATATTTCTAGATATGAAAATTTAAGTTTTAGTAATATTTTGTATTTACAGGCTTTGCGCTCAGGCTAGATTGCCATCGACTTTCTGCAATACAACCAAAGTTTCCTTGGCTTTAAATTCTAATTCAAACGATAAAAAGATTAACATTTTTGGAGGATTGTCTCTCAGTTGTCAATCACAGAGGAAAGCATTTATTGGGAAAACATTTTGCTCAGTCAGCACGGGCATGTACCCAGGGATCAGCATTGAGTCTGAATCACATATCACAGAGGAAAAGATTGGAGTTTTGCTTTTAAATCTTGGAGGGCCCGAGACCCTTAATGATGTTCAGCCGTTCTTGTTCAATTTATTTGCTGATCCAGTATGTTTTACATTAATGTAAGAGATTCAAGAATTGGGTTTTGATCATTTGCAAATTGGTGACATTTTTAATCCTCTGTCACAGGATATTATACGTCTGCCCAGGTTGTTCCGGTTCCTCCAGCAACCTTTGGCACAGCTTATTTCTGTACTCCGGGCTCCCAAAAGTAAGGAAGGCTATGCTGCCATTGGAGGTGGCTCACCTTTGCGTAAAATAACAAATGAGCAGGTATTGAGATTGCCACTAAACTTTTGGTCCTTTCCCAAGTCAACGGGTTATATTTTATGACCATGTTGCTATTTTCTAGGATTTACAGTCTTTTGTTTTCTACATTGCAGGCAAATGCATTAAGATTGGCACTGGAAACGAAGGAAGTTCCTGCAAACGTCTATGTTGCAATGAGATATTGGTACCCATTCACCGAGGAAGCTGTTCGCCAGGTATGTTATAAGAACTGTGACAAATTATGCTTTCACACGTACTCATTCTTGATTTATATTTCTTCAAAAGAAGGTTACTACATGAAGTTTAGTTTTATCAACTCAAAGATGGTGTTTTGCCAAAGACCTTTAGAAGGATGTCCATTTGCTCTCAAACAATAGAAGTATCCATATCATTTTTAGGAAAATGGGATAAAGAAAAAGGGGGGAGGGGAATATGAAATTCTAAGAATATCTCACAGAAAAAGATAATAATTTCTTGTTTTTCATGCATAATACCTTCAAATTCACAGAATACTTTATTTACAATTTACAATCTTGAAATATTCCAGATTTTCCCTGATCTTATAAGATTTTCAGGTCTTTTCCCAGAAATTAAGTTCAGGCGAATCACTGGAAAATTCTACTTCCCGTTTGTTCTTTCTAACATTTTTCTTGGAGACAAAGGGAGCCTAAGGCTAAAAGGATAACTGAAGAGTCTTAAGCTATTTGCTTTCTTCTCCATTTTCATGACCCCCAAAAAAATATTAAAAAAATTGGATTTTCGTGCTGCCTATTCATCATAACAAACTCACCTTTGCTATATTACCTGTTAGAATGTATTGTGCAAAGGCATTTTGTTAGTCATCTCTTTTGAGTTGCCGGGGCAAAAACTCTCTCCCTTTCACATATAATCAGATTTCAGATGTTGTTTATCTTCAAACGTGAACTTCTCTGTTTTCTAATTATGTATTTCTCTTTCTGTGGTATGTTAATTTCATCTCACCGTACTTTTAATTCAGCATAACATTCGAGCATCTTGAGGTCAGTGGAATCGATTCATATTATTTTTCCCTATTTTCTGTGATAGATTAAGAGAGATAAGATTACAAGGCTTGTAGTATTGCCACTTTACCCTCAATATTCTATTTCAACAACTGGGTCAAGCGTTCGCATTCTTCAAGACATGTTTAGGTAATATCTTGTAGCAATCTGTATTTCCATTAACTGCTTGGAATTGCAGTTCATTATTATTGCACCGGTGCTACAATTTCATCTTTCTCTAACATAATGAATCTGGGTATTTTATCAGGGATGACTCGTATTTGTCACGGTTACCTGTTGCTATTATACAGTCATGGTATCAACGTGAAGGTTACATCAAGTCTATGGCTGACTTGATTGAAAAGGAGTTACAAATTTTTCCAAATCCAGAGGAGGTGGGTTGAATTCCTAATTTGAAATGTTTAAGTTGACAGAGAAAATATTTGTTATATAGTTACTGCAATTTCTTAATGCTGAGTTCTCCGGTCTCTTAGGCCATGATTTTCTTCAGTGCTCATGGAGTACCAGTAAGTTACGTTGAGGATGCAGGTGATCCATACAAAGATCAGATGGAAGAATGTATATTTTTAATAATGAAAGAGCTGAAATCAAGAGGAACCAACAATGATCATACTTTGGCTTACCAGGTTGGTTGTATTGTTTATTCTTCCAAATTTTAGATTTCTATCTTTGCAGTTTACAGAGTTATTGACACATTATGAAGAGCTATCAACTGACTGTTTTATACTGGCTGCCCTCTTGCAAGATTCTTTGGGTCGATCTTGTCCTTGAAGGGGTTAAAATAAATTCACATAATAGACCAATCAATCATGCTACTTGTACATTTTGTTTGACATCATTGTTGACATTGTGCCATATGTCAGCACATGATTGGAGAGTTTTTGAATTCAACTAACTTTCCCGCCTAAGCATTTTTTAATTTGCACACAATATCATCCAAAATTGTCATCCATGGAATGTACAAGAAGCTTTATTCATAGACTAATACCTAATTTCTTGGAGTCAGTAACTACCCGTCCTGGTTATTGTTGGCGGAGTGAAAATTGATGTGTATACAAAAGGAAAATGAAAAGAAAAGCTATCCTGAATCTCAGATATCCTACTGACACGATGTTGATTTTAATTAATTTCTTACTCATATTTTCCAGAGCCGGGTTGGTCCTGTACAATGGCTAAAACCATACACCGATGAAGTTCTTGTTGAGCTTGGCCAGAAAGGTGTCAAGTCTCTACTGGCTGTTCCAGTGAGGTATGTTATGAGAATAACCCTTTTCCTCTCAAGTATTGTATACATCATTAGTCTGATTCTTTGGAGGGACAATCCCGTAATAATGAATTTGCAGAATGGGAATACTTTCTTGCATGATCCCTGGGCCTTAAACAGTTGAAGGAATCACAAAATCGATTAATTATTTGAACTTGGAAATTCAATTTCCTTACCGTGTGATGTATCTAATATAATTATAAATTTGAAATTTCAGCTTTGTGAGTGAGCACATAGAGACACTTGAGGAGATTGATATGGAATACAAACATTTGGCTCTTGAATCTGGAATCACTAATTGGGGTCGTGTGCCTGCTCTGAACTGCTCTTCTTCATTCATAACTGATCTTGCAGATGCAGTGATCGAAGCTCTGCCTTCAGCAATGGCAATGTCGACCTCAAATACAATCTCTGAAGAAGTTGAAAACGATATATTTGGATACGTTGCCAAACTGTTCTTTGGTTCAATCTTAGCATTTGTTTTGCTCCTATCGCCTAAAATGCTATTGGCCTTCAAGAACAATGTTCTGTAAGCAACACAGAGATCCTCAGTCGAAGTGCATTTTTTGTTTCTAGAGAGCAAGAGCCTGACGGTGGTATTTGTAATGCTTATGCGGTTTACGTTCACGATATGATTTTATTTTCTTTAGAGTAGCAAAGAAATTGGTGATGAATAATGCATTTTTTATTTTTTTTTAACCTACTGGTTTGTTATGTTTGTAAAGACTATGAGACGTATAGTTTGACATTAACCTGCTCTTTTGTGATCGTGTATTGTAGTTGTCTTGTAGAATGTGGCTTAAAGTAACGTGTCCTTCTCATTCCAATTGTAATTTTTGATGAATACTTTTCCATTATTTACTTTTCTTTAGTAATCCTATCCAATCATGTTCGGTACATTTTACCAAATATGCATGAATGCTTAACCGTTGATGTCCTGTCCTGTCCTGTCATCTTTTGGAACGGATTGGAACTGAAATTTACTAAACACACTTTGTTGTATTGTATGTTCGAAAATATGTAGAAACATATTTGTAGAATTTGAAGTTTACAAACCCAAGAAAAGTTCTACAATATTTTTATCAACTAACTAAATTAAGTCACAAACTTATTGATCAAACCTATTTGTTGGGTCAACGGGTCTTCAAAGTATCAATGGTCTATGTGACAGTGAAATTGTTGACACATTTTAGACATTGAACAATGTACGGTAACCTTAGCTACATAGATCGATGATCTTCTAGACTTAAGATGAATAACATTAATTATTTTATGTCTCACCATCATTGGAGTATTAGAGCATATCAAATACAACAATGTGCATATAAACATGTGACATGCAAGTGAAGAGATAGCATCTCCAACGGGTTGTGGATTGCACTAATTGCAAACCACGTAGAAGAGAGAATATAGAGAAAGAGCCGAGATAAATTATAAAAATTTAAATAGACATCCTTCCATGAAATAGATTAAATTAAGTGGAGGACACCATCCCCGTGGAAGAAAAGTTTTGATAAGGCGATTTTGTATACACGTGGTGGGATCGATAATTTAAATCACGTAGCCCGGACCTCCAACAATTTAAATCATGACACCTCAACATTCAATATTATTGTCTCTTACCACTTCAGATGTCATGATTTGAATGGTTTGAAATTCGATGTATCATAATTTAAGAGTGTGTTTGATTGACATGAAAAATATCACCTAGAAAAGAAAATGTTTTCCATCTTTTGTGGAAAATAAAAACCACCTCTACTCAAGGAAAATGTTTTCCTTAAAAACAAGGAAAATTAGGTATATTTTCAAAAGTTGGAAAATGTTTTCCATGGAAAAAAAAATAACAATCAAACACTTAAAGTGAAAATTTGGGTGGAAAACTGATATTTTCCATAGAAAATAAATGTAATCAAACACACCCTAAGTGATCGATTCTTCACAAGTGGAAGGTGTGCTAAACACACTAAATTTCCTAATCAAGTAAACATTTTGAAGTAATGTGGCATATTTTTAGTGTAATGCATAGATCGATTGACACTATTGCACAAACAACACTACCAAGATATGTGTAAATCCATTTAATTCTATTTGAACCAAAATTTTTAATAATGTTACTCATTTTGAGCCTAGATGATCAATAGTTTACGTGACTAATGACCAACCTTAGGTCTGGATAACGGCTATTTTGGATGCAACATAATTTTTTACTGGAGATAATTTATTTACAGATTGAATTTGGGTTTTAGCATGCTTGGCTAAAGCTTAAACACAACTTCCAAATTTATTTGCACACGTTACTTTTCAAGGAAAAATAAAAAATAAAAAAGACGTGCCCCCCCCCCCCCCCCCCGGCGGGGAAAATAAATCTTTAGTCGAAATAAGCTACTTATTTCCAATTTTAATTATCTATTATAAAATAGTAAATAATATAAGCAAACACTGCAACCGATAACTTTAAACAAAACATGGAGCAATTCTCTTAATAGAACAATGCATAAGGATTGTTGGAAGAAATAAAGCATAGATCCATAGTCAACAAGACAGCAAAACCAAAATGACACCTGATACAACCTAAATTAGACCTAAAACATGCACCAGCACTTGCAAGAGCAAGGCAGAAATACAAAGATAACTCAACTGGATGGCGAGGCTTGCGCAGCCCCACTAGGCAGCACAGTTTTAGAAGGTGGAGTTGCATCATAACTCCCATGGGCACTGGCACCAGAGTTGCCATCAGAAGAGTACGCTGGCGGTTGGGAATATCCACCACCATAACTGTTATAGGCTGGCGGCTGAGGTGGTGCTCCATAAGGTGGTGGACCATACCCTGGCTGCGATGTTGGATAACTGCTTGTTGGAGGCTGAGAATGAGGATATCCAGGTTGAACATAGCCTCCTTGAGCGCTAGGCAACTGCTGCAGCTGCCCATAAGTTGGCTGGCTGGTTGGAGGTTTTTGAGCATTGGGCGGTCCGTGAATCGGGCCATAACCAGCTGAATGTTGCGTAGCATAACCAACTTGCGAAGTCGGTGGCACCCCATAACTGGGCTGGGTTGATCCTTGAATAGCAGAATTGGGATTAGGGCCAGGCTGACCACCAGCATTGTGTGCCTGACCGGTTGCAGGCACTTGACTGGCATCACCTAGGGTTCCGTATGCAGCTGTCTGCCCATCAGGGGCCGGGTTAGAGGTGTTACCATAGGTAGAGTTATAACCTTGTTGATCATAGCCGGGAACTGGATTTGGTTGGGACTGACCATAACCAGATTGAGGAGCTGGCATGTTATATCCACCATAGCTATCTTGGGGATAACCTTGTCCTTGACTGTAGGGCGGTGGTTGATGATAACCATAAGCAGAACCATCAGCTGGAGCACCAGGTCCTCCATTAGTTGGCGGCTGTGGAGGCTGCTGCTGGCTATAGTAATCATAGCCACCACCCTGAGCAGCCTGCTGATTCTCCGGAGCAGTTGTCTGGTCCCAGCCAATGGAATACCCACCAGAGGGTGGTTGAGGAGGATAACCAGGGTAAGGTGATTGGTTCGTGTTGTATTGCGGTGATGGACCAGGGTAATCACCAGGCTGAGCATAACCATATCCAGGTTGCTGCATTGGTGGTCCAGGCTGTGCCCAGTTCATTGGAGGTCGAGTTTGGTAACCTTGCTGAGGATATCCTCCAGTCATTGCTGGATTTCGACTACGATTCTGCATGGAATTCTCAAATTAATCAAGAGAAACCAAACCCATCACATGGAAAAAAATATAGGGTAGGTAAAGCATAACATAACAAAACAGCCAGCCAGGAAAAATGTGAAGGAAGTTGCACAATAACAATATATATCCAATGTTGTTATGCGAAGCACGATTTATATAGAAGAGTTGAATCTAGTCAAGATCAGATGCCTACATACCATACAGGTTGGATTATATTATTGAGTTACTCCTGCAGAAGCCCATCCTCCCCCTATTTGAAGTGAATGGGTACAAAAGAAAATTGCAAAAGCTAAACAAGTTCTATGATACTAGAAGCAAAATTAAAGGCCTTTTGGTAAAACGAGGAAGCATATGGATAAGTGCTAGAAACTAAAATCAACAAGAAGAAAAATCAATAGTGCAGGAAAAATATCTCATAATATTGCCTCAAAAAAACTTGTATTCATCACATCAAATTATCTAAGCAAATTATAGAAAAAGACGACCGAATAGGAGGAGATTATTAAAACTAGTCTAGATAAACAACAATGACGAGATGATAAATGTGGCATGGAAACTCCAACCGTCAAGGTGGTGGAGTTCAATTCAAAAATGAAAAAATATATGCGACATTGCTTTTAAATAAAGTCAGTAAAACCATCCTCTAAGTCAATGTAAAACAAAAAACAACAAATATACGTGACAATCTGCATCTTCTAATATCCTGTCTAGCAGGTTAGGTATATTCAACCAGTAGGTATATAAAACATATATAATATCCTTGTTTTTAGGCACTCCATGTTAGTTAAATCTCTCCATTCAATCTTCAAAGTATACTCTTTCATATTCCATAAATAGAAGGCCCCAGTACTCTCTCCAAGATATCTGGGCAGTTTAAGAAAATGAATCAAATGATGTTCAGAATGATACCAGAAAAATGCTGAGGAAAACATTAAATGGTTCCATGGTGGGGTCATTAATTGTCCAATAACCTCCAACCCCAAATAGTTCATAATAACAGTATCAGTTATCAGATGCAAAATTAAACCAGATTGTCCATTAAGGGCAACCTCGGTCTCGCAAATTATTAACTCAACCATTAACTAAGAATGTCAGTAATACTTAATATCCTATAAATACCTTGAACACTAATAGAAATTTTTTATACTGCCTTCAATACCTCAGGGAAGATGGCTAATGTAAAACCTGCCTAGTACAAAACCAAATATACAAAATTGAAAAATAAATAAAAAGATAAAAGGTAATATTTCAAAAGACTGATCCTCGGTGCTCGTAATCACGATCCAAATATCATATGTTTGCAAACGAAGGGCAGAGGAAACGAGTAGAGAATAAGCCAAAATATCTCGAAGAGACAATATCTCAATAGCTAATTTATCCAAAAAAAATACAGTTTAATAAATTTATTAAAGTGCCAAAAAATAATGATATACAGGCCTCATCTAGCAACTGAAATTGAGCATATGACCAAACCAGATATAAGAGAGTTCTCCCTCGGCAAAGGCTGGTCTCCTCCATCCGTGGTCATTTGACACAAGATTTTTACTCCACATTGACAAAGCCGTAGATGCAGACAGGAGTGGCAAAAAATATCTGCAAAGCTTGGGATACAGAAATGGCATACAGGGAAGGCATGACAGTATATTGTCAAAAAACGTACTGATAAATATTGCTTACAAAGTTATTTGGGATAGAGTAACATCCAGAAATAATCTGTTATATTTTGACTCAAGACATGTTCAAAAAGGAAAATTGTGACCATCCCATGTCAATACTGTCAGTGGCAAAATGTTAGCCAAATAATCCGTCAATAAAAAGCAATACAAACATTTTCACAACAATAAATTTCTAGGCAACTATCCAGTATATTGATACATGAACAGCGCCAAGGACTACGACATAATATACCCCCAAGACCTTAGATACGTGCTGGAGTGAATTGTAAAATAAAAATTTTGATTCCATATGAAATCTAATTCTTTGAGTTCAGGAACGCAATTCCACCAGACCAGAACTCCTCTATAATGTACAAGTAATTATCAGTGGTGACGGAAGGGATTACATCTTGAATGCAAATCAAGATAGCACGTCATTTCCATCCTTATTAATAATTTATATTAAGAAAACCTCAACCACCACTAAATTATGCAAAGAATATACAAACAAATATGGTAAAAGAAAGATAAGCTTCAACTTCATTATAAATTATTAGAAGTGAGATGAACTATCATAGGGAATGAATTTAAGAGCTGGTAAATTTATCAGATGCACACTAATATCTAAGCAGACTAATAGTTTCCACGGTCAAGGCGAAAACATCTCAGAATTAAAGAAATAAGTAAGGTTTACCTCACTAATGTGGCTTATTTTAGCCCACAAAATCATGGGCCAATGGCTTATTTGCCAAACAAGCTCTTACTAATTCACATCAATTACATAATGCCAACAAATCAAGTCCTGTATGAAAGCAAGGACAGACCAACAATAACAAAATCCAGGATATTGCCATGGACAGCTGGTAGGGATTGTCAATAATCACCACACAAATAAATGGGGGTTGGAGATGGATGCTATCATGTGTTCATTTTTTCAAACAGGTAAAATAATGCATTGAAGCGGATTCAGAAAAACTGTACCAAGTGCAACTAATAAAAATACCTCACTGGTGACTTCATTGACCAATAGTTTTGCAGCTTCAATTTGTTCTCTAGTGCCATCAATTTGTACAGTCCTTTCTTTTGATGTGTCACCAGGTGGCAAGTGCAGAGGTATGACCTGCAATGTTTGGAAAAATTACTCGTGCCATGGCATAGAAACAATTACTTGCATTCATCTAACGCAATCAGAATTAGTGATATATGCATAGTACAAAGGCTGATAGATCTGCATCACATGCTTGAACTAACAATTAACAGAAGCTCAAAAATCCTACCTGAATACGAGCCCCAGACCTCGCTTGCATGTCTTTAATGGCTTCACCTCCTTTACCAATAACAAGACCCACCTGAAAATCAATGGCTTGTAACAAAAACTCTGAAAATATACTGGACATCAGATAGCAAACCAATATCAGCAGCTTATTACCTTATTGTTGGGGATCTTCATTACCAACTGTTCAGCTCCAGATGGTAGCCCAGTTGATTGCAAAGAAGCTACACCAGAACCACCTGCATCAGCCTGAATAAGCAAATCGTTAGTAGAAGCCACAAATAAAAACATAGTAAACTGCACATTAATGAAATATATATTAATTAAACAATTCTCTTGATTGGTTGGTGACCCAAAGCAATATGAAGAACAGCATTTATTAACATGATCAAACATTTTAAGTGACTAGTACTAGTGCAAATGTGCAGCAGTCCGAGTACAGGTGATGGTCGTTAAATTGATTAATAAGAACATTTCAGTACCTCAGCAAGAACATCTTTAATCAACTGCTCAGCCTTGGCTACTTGCTCAGGAGTACCCATGAGCTCAACCCCTCTACTAGCAGAATTAGGGTCTGCATCCATATCTCTAGTGACCTGAATCTTTGCCCCGGACTGAAGCTGAAGGTATTTAATGGTCTCGCCACCTTTGCCAATTATCACACCGACCCTGCCATTTGGTATCTCAATCTTCTTGTTCGGAGCTGGGTAACCATAAGAAGCACCTTGTGGTGGACCACTAAAAGCCAAACCCATGGATTTCTGACCTAGAACTGCAACCACACAAAATTAATGCAGCTCTAAATGAAGGAATAATTGATTTCAAACCATATTCCTTTACATCAAATCACAGCACACCGAGCACATAGAGGTGCAGGGAGCCCAAGGATTTATATGAAGAAAAGATATTTTAATGAAAACTTGAGGCAAAAATAAAAATAAATTCATAAATACACCTAAAATTACATTCATGTATACCAAAGCACAAACAAAAGCAGATATTTAAAACAAAGCTATCCATTACATCAGCAGGGAAATATATGGCTGGTGATCTCTAGCATAAATTGTCTTTGTCCTAATGGTCTGAATCCAGTTTCCAATATGGATGTGTTAAAAATATAGAAAATCGTGATTTCCCGATATGCATGTGTTAATCAAATAAATTCTGTTTACATTAACGTTGCAACAAATACAAGCTTCCCCCGGACAATAAGTTTATACAATTTGGTGCGTGACTAGTATAAATGGAAGGAAACTATTAAATACAAGCATTCAGAATTCACACAATAAATTTGTGTACAGATAGTCCCGTCGCTAGTAGCAAGAAAAGTGAATTTTTGCCTTGGAATTCTTGAGTACATATATATAGAGATAGAAACAAACACACTTAAAAAAATAGTATGTGGCAGAAGAAACCCAAAATATCAAGGCATTAAACACGTCAAACCCAAGTACATACTTAGAAATAGATGAAATTCATGTAAGTTCAGGAAAAATCCTAAAATAGAAATACCAGAATCCTTACTGGAGTCATTGGAGTCGAAGCCTCCGCCGCCTCCAGCTCCATTCTCCACTCTAGCTCTTTTCGTGGGATCAACGTTGTTGAGAAACCTGGCAGCGATCTCTTGGGCCTTCAGCTTTGCTAGCTCGATCTCATTTACAGGAGGCGGGCCGCTATTGTACGAAGACGGCGCATTCGACTCCGGCGGCGACGAGAACCCAGTCGGCCTACGCTCGACGGGTGAGGGGTCATCGTACTTGCGCTTGTTCGATTCGCCATCTACTGATGCGTACTGTACCTTCTCAGCCATTGGTGTGGTTCGATGGATAGATACAGGGGAGTGTTTGTGGAGTTTCTGCAGATGGAAAGCGAGCTAGAGTACTGAAAACCTAGGTAGAAAGGGCGGGGATTTTAGAATAAGGATTTATCTCCTTGTATATAATGTCGGTGTCATAATGTACTAGTGGCATCGGAGGTAATGTCGGGTCCTCCTTAGAGTAATGCTTGGAGTACAGGGATTGTTCACGGGCCTTTTATAGCGATTCAAAAATTGGTAACATGTATTACGATCTTTTCTTCTTCCACTTAATAAAAAAAAAAAAAAGATAACGAAACAGAGAACAAAAGGAGGGAGAATTAGAAGACCGTGCCTCATTTCCCCTCGATTCCAGCTCTCCCACAAGCCTCCCTTCTAGTCGACGCTCACCCACATCCTCACCTCCGATCACAATCTGAACATCGGAGAGCACCACTCAAGCTGGCGCACTCAGTTTCCCCCGATTTCAGCTCTCCAAAACCCCTCTCACGCAGCCGACGACACACCCACCATCCTTCTCGGCGACCTCCCACCTCCAGTCACAGTATAAACTCCCACAACCTTTACACCACTCGCTATGGTCGGATGCTCGAGAAATGGGGTTGATTTCGGCTTAACTGCGATCTTCTTTACGCTGTGGTTCGAGCATTATTATGTGGCCTCCAGCTAGCGTTTTCATTGCAAGAGTCGGAGATTAAAAGCACAACATTATACGTAAGCTACCGAAATTTTTGTATGTTTTCCAATATTGCTGTATTCTTGGCCTAGCATTTTTTTCTGTATGTCTGATTGATTCTGGATTGGAAGCACGCCATTTTCCAGCATTTTACTGTCACTTGTTTTCATTTTACTGTCCAATCGCCAATATTGCTGTATTCTTGGGCTACCTCCGTTGTCAATCGCCAAATATAATGCACCAAATGTCATTGTTAAGAAACTATCACTTGTTTTCATTTTACTGCAGCCAATTTTTTAGAAGAACTAATAAGAAGGTTTAATTCAAATGAATTAATCATGATACTGTCAATTTGAAATGTGAAGAAAATGTTACTGCATGAGTATTTCCCTTTCTTGAACTCCTGAAATTTGTGATTGTAGCATCACAATATGTGATTTGAGATTCTTAAGCAACTGCATGGTGGTATATCCCCTTGTTGAACTCCCCAAATTCATAATTTTACCACCACATTATGTGATTTTGCTAAGATAGTGCATGGGCAATGTAAATGGTTTATATTTTGATGAACGCTACCACTTGTTTTGTTGCGGTGGAAGGATTATGGAAGACGCGAATTATGAATTGGTGGAGTCCTCTAATGAGAATGGTGTGGATAATATGAACAGGGTTGAAGATGAAAGGTTAGGAGAAAATGGTTCGATTGTACCGGAGGTGGAAATGATGTTCAACAAAGAAATAGAAACGTTTAAGACGTACAAGAGATATGCTTATGATATAGGTTTTCCTGTTAGAAAACGGAACTCAAAAAATGGGGATGATGGCGTTCTGAGATATGTAACTTTCACATGCAGTCGTAAAGGCAGAAGAAGTAGTAATGCGAATGGGTCTTTAAAGCCTAAATCAATAAGTCAAACTGACTGTAAAGCAAGGATCTCAGCCTTTTCAGATTGTCGTGGAAGGTGAAGAATTAACACAGTCCACCTCGATCACAACCATGAGACAAGTCCTTCTAAATCTAGGTTGTATCGATACAATAGGGAGTTGAGTGCAAATGTGAAACGTAAACTTGAAGTGAATGGTGTTGTAGGAATTTCGTTACATAAAAGTTACAACTCCGCAGTTGCGAAACTAGGTAGATATGAGAACATGACGTGTATGAAGAAGGATTGCAGAAACTATGTCGAACAAGTTAGACGTTTAAGACTTGTAGAGGAAGACAGAGTGGCAATACAGTCCTACTTTTCGAAAATACAAGCATGGGCATGGAAAGTTACCATTCTTCACAGGAATATTATAAGAGGAAATTAGATGAAACTTAGAAACATAACAAGGAATAAGAGGATTTTGGGCTATACATGTCTGTTAGAAAATTTCTATAAGCATGCTAACAATCTATTCTCAATGTTGCAAAAAGCTAGTGGGATACTTATCTCTCATTCTGATATTCATCCTCAGCCCCTCTTCCCCTTTCTCTCTCTCTCTCTTGATAGCAATTTGCTTATTTACATTACCATGATCATCAGAGACAGATTAAAAAGGAGTGGATTTCCATTGCATTCAGTTAATTACCCCCATTCTTCAACGCTCATGATTGTAATTTAACCCACTCTTTCTAAAATGATTCAAAACATCAAACTAATTATATTTTGATATAGCTCGAAAATGTCGCTTGAGATTCACTGGTGTTATGATGGGAATATGATAAATTGCTGGTAATGTTACCGTCTTCTCTTTTCAGTTAGCGGAAGCTATAAAAGCTCAATTTTCATGTGATTATAGTGACCACCTTGCTCTTGTTCGGGCTTTTGAGGGGTGGACAGTAAAACGAGAAAACCTCCTTACTTAAAACGATGGAAGACAAGTAGGTTCTTTTGTACTATTTAAGTGTTTCACTGGCTTAGTATCTTGTGTTGTTAGAGATCTATATATATTTATGAGATATAGCTGATTTGTGTTGTTAGTAGAGCTTTACCTTTCCTTCTTACATATGTTTTAGGCTCCAGTTTTAGCCATATTGGAGACAACATATTCATACTTCTTTGGAATATTGTTAGATAAGTTTTGCTTTAGGTGGTGGTGGATGTTGAAAAAAGGTGATCTAGCAGAAATTTTGGAGTGTGACTAGAAGCCTCCCATATGTTAAATCATTCGTCGCTTGATCAAGAGTTTTTGCCACTTACTCTTTTTTTGCTTAGTGATATTGTATTAGTATCTTCTGTTCTGCAGTCAAGGGAAAAAGCCAAAAAAAACTATCATGTGATGTAACTGTTGCATTATGAATGTGACACAGAAATAAAGAAGTGTGTAATGCCTGTCGATTTTTTGATAAATGTAGATGAAGTTAATGACCATGCACTTATACTTACTCATCATTTATGAATAAAGATAAAGGGCGTAATAGAGAAGATTAGTTCATAGTTCCCGTTCCTTAAGTAAAGCAAGTGCAGATTTTGAAAAACCAAAGCAATACCTTCGCAATGTGTGCTGGGATGCTTGTCAGAATGACATTTTTTAGTAAGATAGCAAGTAACACAGGTGATGAGACAATAAATTTTGGCTATAGGTAACGAATACACATAAAACTAAATTGCATTACACCCATACTAAGATATAACATATGTTGTTACGTCATTCATAAGTTCTAGTACAAACATAATTCGATTAACAAGTTCAACCCAATAAAACTAATCAAGTGGCCTCCTTTGTTTTCCCGTTTCCTTTCGAACTTCCGTTTCCCTTGCGGAAAGTAATGTTCAAGTTAATCTCTACATCTCGTTTGTAGGATATTCGAGCTAGAGTTTCGAACATTCTTGGCAAATCTTCGACTTCCTCATTTGTCGCAACATTAAGCGCTTCATTAATGGTTCTCGATTCTCCGCTTGACTCTCCTTGTTCGACCCATTCGAAAAATCCACATTTCTTACTGCGTGTGTTGAATAATCGCCCTTTGTTACACGTCTGCTTTTCAACCTCAAAATATTTCTGAAATCCATGTGCACACCTTGGGCAACAACGTTTTCTGGGGCATTCATCGAAAAAATGTCCATTGCTTCTACAGCTGTGACAAATTTCAACATTCCTTCCTTTCATATCCTTAGATGGAAAACAAGTACATAAATTAGTTGTACAAACCATGAACCCCAAATTGTTCAAAGTAGAGCAGCATGTGAAATAAATAAATCAATAGCGAAAAAACTTCTCCATTACTCATCGTTTCTGTCCAATCAAAAGAATTATCTGGTAAAATATTTACGAACAAGTTGCCAACAACGATAAGGTTGTACGTCAAAAATCATATATAGTAAAGACTAACAAGATGATACAACCATAGTAAAAGCTACCATTACATCACTTAAATCAAGTCGTTTCCAACAATCAATTTGTTGCACGTCAAAATCAAACAAAACACCAATTCATTTACTAGAGACGATACATGAACTCTTTAGATTGCAACCACCCATCGATCAACGACACATTTAACAACCTAATTTACTGTAATACTATTATATGCATCAATATTTATTTAACAGGGTTTAAATGGCATCCACGATAGAATTTAGTCATAATTCTAAACATGGTTTAAAAGTATAAAACCTATATAATTAACGGTTAATTACAAAATCAACTCAAGTATAGAACACGCAATATAATGTCGAGAATCTCTAATGGAAATTCAAGAGTTCAGTCCAGAATCATATAATTAACGATTAATTACAAAATCAACTCAAGCATTGAACACGCAATATAATGTCGAGAATCTCTAATGGAAAATGGCATGCTTCCAGTCCAGAATCAATTAGACATACAGAACAAATGCTAGGCCAAGAATACAGCAATATTGGAAAACATACAGAAATTCCAGTAACTTACGTATAATGGCGTGCTTCTAATCTCCAACTCTTGCAATGAAAACGCTAGCTGGAGGCCACAGAATAATGCCCGAACCACTGCGTAATGAAGACCGCAGTTAAGCCGAAATCAACCCCATTTCTCGAGCATCCGACCGCAGCGAGTGGTGTAAAAGTCGTGGGAGTTTATACTATGACTGAAGGTGGGAGGCCGCCGAGGAAGATGGTGGGTGTGTCGTCGACTGTGTGAGAGGGGTTTTAAAGAGCTGAAATCGGGGGAAACTGAGTGTGCCGGCTTGAGTGGTGCTCTTCGATGTTCAAATTGCGACTAGAGGTGGCTCGACTGGAAGGGAGGCTTGTGGGAGAGCTGGAGTTGGGAGGAAATGAGGTGCGGTCTTCTAATTCTCTCTCCTTTTGTTCTCTGTTTCGTTCCTTTTTTTTTTTATTAAGTGGCAGAAGAAAAGACAATAATACACGTCACCAATTTTTGAATCCCTATAGAAGACCTGTGAACAATCCCTGTACTCCAAACATTATTTAATCCCTGTTTGGTTGGAATTAATATTATATTTTTAATAAATTTTGAAATGCACCATGTGTGATTAATATAGATTATTTAACTTTAATTTAAATTTAAATCTAATTTAAAGAGGTGAGCGTGATAATTGATTTTAAATTTTTGGTGGGTCCAATTATGGTATGAACAAAGCTCTTCCGATAATTGATTTTTAAAGTTATCCATATGAGATATTTTTGGTGGGTTCGATTTTGGTATGAATAAAGCTGTTTGAGCAGGGGAGAGATGCGGCACCCCGATGTGTGTTGGGGACAGGAGGGACGAACAAGGCTGACGTGACACTATACATCTAGCACGGTTGATTCTGGTATACATATAAATAAATAAATACAACAACAACCTTCTTCCGTGAAATTTGTAATTTGTCTTCCAAAAAAAAAGAGTTTTGAGTGAATTTCTAATTATTTTCAAATCAAATCATCTTAAAGGTAAAGAATGATGATTGGCTAACAGAATTAGAGGGTGTTTGGCATGATTAAAATTAGATTTTTTAGTAAATTGATAGAAGATTTTGAAATGCGTGGTTGAAAAATTGTGAGACCATAAAAGATGTGGTTGATATCAATCGTTTGACTTTGAATTAGATTAAAAATCAGAGTTTCATCAGTACCAAACGGGCCTTTAATGTGGATAACATTTGGGGACATATTTCTTCTTCACCAATCTTTTGTGCTCATGTCTTCTCGAGTATTTGAACCTCTTTTAGAGGTAATGACTGTAGCTTCTAATTTAATAATTGTGTTGAAATCGAGCACGTTATCGCTCTTATTGGAGAATTAGTATGCTCACGTAGCAGTCGATAGCAGATCAATCAATAAGGTGTGAGCACATATTATTAAATATGACTCATTGAGACCCATCGCAGAATTTACAATTTTATGGATTTTTTTTAATTAATTATTTTCATTTTTTTCTGATATTGAGAAAGCTATTTTGTTGTGCCACAAGAACGAAAGTTATAGAGGAAAGGGTGCCAAGTTCACCCCCTATTAAGTGAAATATTTTGCTACACGCATGTGCCTTGAACCAAGTTGGGTATATCACTTTCATTTCTATATTTACCTGGGCAAAACTTGGTATAAAATTATTGTTGGAAGTTCATTGAATTAGCTATCCTTTAGGATTGTTACCGATCTATCCTAACGATCTTTGTCTCAAATAAACTGAAGTTTCGAATTTATCTTCAATGATCAAAATTGCTTGAGATGTTTCTATGGAAAAAAGGTTAAATTTGTCTTTTTGAGTGGCTCAACTACAGTGTCTGGGAAGATGTTGCTACTTTGAATAGTGGATGATTGAGAATGCTATGATCATGATTTGGCTTGTTAATTCTATTGAGTTTGAGATAGGTCAAACTTACATGTTTCTCTTTACAGGTAAAGAATTATATGAAGTTGTTGCATAAGTTCTTCCTGACGTTGACACTGGAAATTTTGCTTAAACTTGTGAGATTAAGTGAAAGATTCTTGAATTAAAATCGGGATTTTAGACTATTACGAAATACTATAGTACATTCAAGGGTTTTTTGGCAAAAATTAGACTGGCGTTGCTATGTTGAATTGAAATGTCATCACGATAGCACGATTTATATAAAGATGCTTGAAAAGAGGAGAATATTCGAGTTACTGCAGGACCTAATTCATAACTCAATGAAGTTCGCCAAGAATTCTAGTATTGAAAAATCATGATGGGTAATGCACGTTAACTGATCTAGTTAAGTATGGTTCGTGTTGAAAAATAAATAATTTAAGTTTAAAATTTTCAAATTAATATCTTTTAATTTGTTGTTCCTATTTTAATTTCAATTTAATGCAAATTAAATTAATAATATTACAGTGTAAAATACATTTTAAATAATTTAATTCTCATAAGTGTGGGGGTTAAATTTATCCCTATGAAAAGGCATAATTTTCATTGAGATGAATAACATGAGAAAAACATAACTTCAAAAAATGCCTACATCTACATTTCATAATATTTTTTTCTATATTTTGACAATTCGATGAAAACTTGTTCTTTATCTCCATATGGTCATGCCCATAGAAAGAAAATCGACTGTGAACTACGTGAATTTTATCTTGAATCCGTGTAGTGTCGAAAATACCTACACGAAGAGGAGGCAACACGACTTTAGAACATCGTTTTTTGCATGACTCCCTATAACTTGCATTTCTAACTCTTCTCTTCTTATGTTCATGTTATTATTGAATAGTATTTGTATGTTATATAATTGATTGTGTTAATTGATAAAATTCTAAACATAAATCACTCATTTTCCCAATAATTTAAAGTTCCTCGGTGTAAGTGACATAAATTTTAAATTAGGAGAACCATGAAGCTGTTGCACTCTAGGTAGCTGTTCACTTAAAAAGATGATGAGGGTGAACTTGTATAAATAAAGAAGGGCCTACGGAGTTAACACAGTTGGCCGGCTAAGAACGGTGATAATAGATGACCATTGTTTCAATGAATTGGTAACTAGCCCTGCCTAATCAATAACAATAATAATAATAGTAGGTAGTCTATAAAATGAATTTAATTGGACTTAGAGGTAGTGAACATATTTTCATTCAATGTGCCTTCAACTATTTATCCCTTGGTAACTAATTGTACTAAGATAAATCAATTTATATTGGAGAGTAATTACAAATTTTTTATTCAATAATTAAAAATATAATAAAAATTGCAGATATGTTTCGTTTATCAAGCATTTAGAATTGTCTGAAATTCCTTTTTACAACAAATGAGTAATCTAATTTTAATCCCTTACCAAGAGCTACATCACTAACTTCATCAACAAATATGGGACCTCATGGGTTCAACTACATTAACATTGTCAACACATCATAAAGGAGCCGAATTTGGTTAACTGATGGACAAGATCCATCTATAGCTTCATGGTGGGTGTTCCAAATGTATTTATGAAATGCACAGTAAGTGTAGAGGCTCCGAGGCCTCTTGACGTTTAAGCACGAAGCAAAGTGTAAGTTTCGTCAAAGTATAGTGAATGTTTATATTCTAAATGAGAAGTTCCTTGTGATACTTAGCCCCTATTTGGTGAATATTACCTCATTTTTAGATGAATTCAGACCGTTACACAGTATAATTGTCAGATGGGGGAGTCGGTTTTTTGACAGAATTTGGTTAAATTATCAATTTGTCCTTTCAAATAAAATTATTCTCAAAGATGCGATGGCAATTTTATAAAAAGCCCCCTGTCAAGTCAAAGTTGTTGCACAACCGGGTCTCACTAAGAGATATAACTGTCATAAGTTGTGTTCTCATTTTTGGCTAAAATTGTTACCAAACAGGGGCTTAATATATTCGATGAAGTTCAAATTTTATGGCAATTTTCTACAAATATCGATTAATCAATTATAGGCTGATTAAGCCATTGAAAGAAATTAAACACTTGAGTTTTTTATGAAAGAACAATGTTCATTTCCTTAAATTCATTAGCTTATGCATCACTAAATGTTTGTTACCATCTTTGAAAGATTTTTTGTACTTATAATGATTGTACATATAAATGATACCAGATAATTTTTTTTAATAAATATCAACCACAAGAATATGAGAAAATTTTACATCTTAAATTGGGAACTTTGATTCCTAGTAAACATAAAACTATTATGAGCTCAATTCTCAATTCACCCAAATTTTGTGGTTAAATTAAAAATTATTTCCTAATGTAGTTTATTTTTGGAATTTAAGATTTTTTGTATTTAAAATGACGGTATATATAAATGATACCATATAATTTTGATTATAAAATTCCAACCACAAGAATATGAGAAAATTTTACATCTTAAATTGGAAACTTTAATTCCTCGGAAACATAAAATTATTATGTGCTCAATTTACCAAAATTTCGTGGTTGAATTAAAAATTATTTCCTAATGCAATTGAGTTTATTTTTGGAATTTGGTTCTTCTTATTTTGTATGTAAGATTGGGTTGCTTCATTTTGTGGAAGTCCAGCCCAAATATTTGGCCCATTCATCTGACCCGGTTTGATAGTCCAATGATTAGAAGGATCTGGAATTGAAATCAAAAACGCGTTTTTCTATTTTTAATTTAACAACTTCACCGGATGAAGACATGTGGCATGTTGAAGGCCGTTGGATTGATGAATTAGGTCCTTTCATTTAAAAGGAGCTCAAAACGCTAGGGTTTCAGTTCTGGTCATTTTTCGAGAGATTGCCTCTCGTTTTTCTCTCTGTAATTTTGGATTTACTCTTTTGATCTGTGAGATCATTTAGTTGGTTGAGAGAAAAGTGTGTTTTAATGAACTCTTGTGTGAGTTCTACTGGTTGAGAAGCGGCCGGTTGCTATTGTTTGTGTTGATGAACTGTGTGTTCATTTTTGTAACTCAAAGTTGCGATTTTGGTTGGTGATTTAGTGGATTCGAGCTTAAATTCTTATGGATGCTCAACGAGGACTAGACGATCTTATCAATAGCTGAACCTCGGGGTTTCGGTCAAAAAATCTTGTGCTCTTTTACTGTTTTTCTTCAGATCTACGTTTATACTTGATTTTTGCCTCGAATATTTTTCGGTCTTTAAACTATCCTGAACCTACAGTAGTATCAGAGCAAGGAAATAATTTTTTTGGTCTCCTTAGTTACGGAACTGAAGTCAAGTCACCGGCCGGAAAGAGAAACGGCAGATCTCTACGATTTGCCAACATAATTTTTTTAAAAATAATTTTTCTTTTCTCTTCGCATACGATTGGGGTGCTCTTTGCACTGTTAGTGTGCTGCTTCAACTGTATGTGTTAGTGTTGAATTTTCTTGAAAAGAAACCGGTTGCTACTGAGTTAAAATTTTGACAAAAATTATTGGTGTCAAACCTGTTGAAAGAAACTGAAGTCTCTTGGGTATCTTTTATCTAGGTCCTCTAATTCTTGTTCTTGCTGGTTCTAAAACCTTCATTGAAATCCTTTGGTGAACCTACTGCACCCTGCAGTGTGTTGGTAACGAAATAAACAGAAGTTTTTTTTAAATACCTATTGATTACTGCAGTGTTGGTTTTTTGTCTATGTATGGTGGTACCTGCAGTAGTCAGGAGATAGTGTTCTTGTAAAAGAATCAGATGTTTTTTGAGTATTTTTGGTATCTGCAGTCTATGTGAGATAATTTTTGGTAACAAAACGTGCTTTCAAACGTAAGGTCTCATTGAACCTCCCCTCACTCTACCTCTGTCTAGGGTTCTCTAAGAGAATCCTAGAAACTTTGGTGACTAGGACTTCGGTTCAAGAAACCTGTAATCTTCAAAATTGTTTTCTTTAAATTTCTCATCGTGTGTTGATAATAAAACCAAAATCATATTTCCAATTGATAAATTGTTGTACATTCTATGTGAACTGTACTAATATACAAATTTGATCTTCTCAAGTGTTAACCTGCCAAAGAATAATTGCCTTAAAGGTACATACATTGTGTTTACCATTTTTGATAGCTTACTGTGTATAAGTTATGTGATTAAATTACATTGCATGCTTAGTGATCTGCACATTGAATGTGTCTAATTTTGGTTGATATACTCCTATACACATCACACCTAAGCACTATCTGTACATAATCTGAAATTGGAATAATAAGACAGTGACCTTTGTGACATACTGTTGACTGAATAATCACTGTGATATACCTGTTTTATCATAACTTGTGAACAATTTCACACTGCTGCACACTATGAACTCTAAGGTAGATGTCCAAATTTGGGATAACAAATGAGACTTTAGTCTCTGGCATCAGAAAATAAAAGCACTTTTGTTACAGTTAAAATGTGCTAAAGCTATTGATGAATCTTGGCCATAAACCTTATTTGAAGTTAGGAAAAATGAACAAGATGAATTAGCCTGGAGCACTTTGTTCCTACACTTGTCTGATACTGTGATTAGGAAAGTGGGAGAAACTAAAACTGCTGTAGAATTGTAGACTGCCTTAGAAAAACACTACCGTACTAAGACTGTGCCAAATAAATATTTTCTTTGGAGATAGTTCTTTAGTTTTAAGTTTGATCCTAATCTTGATACGGGAGATAATATGAATAGGTTTAATAGGATCACACAAGACTTAGCAAATTGTGATGAGAAAATTTCTGACGAACAGAAGGTAGTTAGCCTACTTAATGCTCTAGGAGATAAATATAAAGATATAAGAAATGCTCTAAAGTATGGTAGGAGTGATCTCACTGTTGAAATAATTCATAGTTCTCTTCTGAATAAAGAACTTGAATTAAAATTTGAACACAAAGAAGTGTACCATGTTGAGGGTGTGTCATCAAATCAAAAACCATATGCTAAAGGAGTAAGTAACTTCAGTCATTCCAATTTTAACAAGAATAAAAATTTTAACAAAAGGTAATGGAATAACACCAAAGGAAAGGGCAAGAAACCAATTAAAGGAAAAGCAAATAGTAACAGTAACAGAAAATATTTTTACTGTGGAAAGACAGACCACTTTATTAAAGACTGTTTTAAAAATGCTAATGACCAAAAGAATGGGTCTAACACTGAAAATGCTTCTTTAGCAGCTGCTGCTAATTATAAAAAAGCAGAAGCAAATATTTGAGTTGCCTATGTGTTTCTATCTGAAAATACTGATTAGGATTGGGTCCTGGATTCAGGATGTTCCTTTCATATGACACCCAATATTGGCTGCATTTCAGACTCTTGTAGTCTGGATGGAGGATTTGAAAAACTTGGAAATGATAAGTCATGCCAAGTGAAAGGAATTGGAAATGTGCTGTTGAAATTTAAAAATGGTCATCACATATTGTTAAAACATACAAGATATGTACCAGCACTTAGAATAAATCTCATATCCCTATGAGTTCTTGATGATGAAAATTACCAAATTGGTATTAAAAATGACTTTACAAAGATAACAAGAAATCAAGAACTCATTGTCAGTTCACCCAAACTTAATGGAATCTATGTAATAGGTGCTGAAATAATTTCACAAAAAAATTCTGTGAATCCTGTCACACATCCCGATAAATCAGAACTGCGGCATAATAGACTTGGCCACTTAAGTGAAAAATGTTTAAAAACACTATCATATCAAGGGGTATTTGGGAATGATAGTGTTCAAAAATTGACTTTTTGTGAACACTGTATCATGGGAAAACGAGTTAGACTACCTTTTAAGGCAAAGCTGCACAAATCCCAAGATGTCCTTGAATACATACATTCTGATTTATGGGGACTTGCACCCGTTTCTGCTGTATCTGATTACAGATATTATTTTCTTACAACCGATGACTATTCAAGAAAGACATGAATTTTCTTACTAAAATCTAAATCTAATACCTTCGCAATTTTCAAAGAATGGAATGTACTAATTGAAAATCAGACTAGTAAGAAGATAAAAATTTTAAGAACTGATAATAGACTTGAATTTTGCAATACCGAATTTGACCAATATTGCAGTAAACAAGGGATAATGAGACATAAAACCGTAAGCTATACTCTACAACAAAATGGGGTTGCCGAGAGGTTAAATAGAACAATTCTTGAAAGGACCAGATATATATTAATCAGTTCTGGCCTTCCAAAAATTTTCTGGGGTGAGGCTGTAAAAACAGCCTGTTATCTTATCAATAGATGCCCTTCCAGCTCTCTAAATAATAGAATTCTCAAACAAATCTGGTCTGGTTCAATGCCAGATTATTCTCACCTAAGAACTTTTGGATGTGCAGCTTATGCACATCATACTGAGTCAAAATTGGACCCTAGATCATTGAAGGGTTTATTCTTAGGATATGGTGAAGGTGTTAAATGCTATAGATTGTGGTTAAGAGATGTGAGGGGTTATAAGGTGATAGCAAGCAGGTCTGTTATCTTTAATGAAGATGATTTTCCTTGTCTTAGTGACAAATCTGGTGAAAAGTTGGGAAAATATGACTTTATTATCACATAAATTAACTTCAATAGCCAAAATACTGATGACCAGGCTCAGTTTGATTGTAAATGGGTTTATAAAATTAAAGAAGGTGAGACTAAGGCTAGTGATAAAAGGTTTAAGGCAAGACTTGTAACTAAAGGCTTTAACCAAAGGGAAGGAATAGATTACACTGAAATTTTTTCACCGGTTGTTAAATATACATCCATTAGAGTCCTACTTGCTATAGTGACACAATTTGACTTGGAGTTAGAACAACTCGATGTGAAAACTGCCTTCTTGTATGGTTCTTTAGATTAAACCATACATATGATTCAACCAAGAGGTTTTGAAGTGGTAGGAAAGGGAAACTTAGTGTGTCTCTTAAAGAAATCTTTGTATGATCTAAAATAGGCCCCTAGGCAGTGGTATAAAAGATTTGACTCTTTTATACAAAGTTTGAACTTCAAGAAATTTGAATATGATCCTTGTTTCTATTATAAGAAAGAAGGTGAATCTGATTTTTTCTATCCGCTTTTGTATGTCGATGATATGCTCCTTGTTGGTCATAATTCTGTTGTATTTAACTCAATTAAAGAAAATATGAAATATGAATTTGAAATGAAAGATTTAGGACCGGCTAGAAAAATTTTGGGCATGGAAATAAAAAGAGATAGAATAAATGAAAAGTTGTTTCTAACACAAAAATCTTATGTTGATAAGGTTGTTAAAAGGTTTTTCCTTCATGAATCTAAGCCTGTTAGTTTGCCTTTATCAGCTGGAATGAAATTATCTATTGATCAATCGTCAAAAATTGAAGAGGAACATAAAAGAATGATGAATGTTCCGTATTCCAATGCTGTTGGATTTGTTATGCATGTTATGGTTTGCTCCAGGCCTGATATAGCTTATGTTGTGAGTGTGTTAAGTATATTCATGAGTAACCCAGGTGAAATACATTGACAGTGCATGAAAAAATTGATTAAATACTTGAAAGGAACCAGTAACTTAGGTTTAGTGTTCAAAACTAATAAAAATGGACTTAGACTTAAGGGTTATGTAGATTCAGATTTTGCTGGTAACCCGGATAATAGGAAGTCTACAACTGCATATTTTTATGTTATAAATGATACATGCATTAGCTGGAAATCCCAGCTTCAAAAATTGGTTGCATTGTCTTCAACCGAAGCTGAATACATAGCTGCAACTGAAGTAATTAAGGAGGGTTTATGGTTGAAGGGTTTACTTAATGAATTGGGACTTATAGAAAATCAAGTGGAGCTGTGTTCAGACAACCAAAGTGCTATTTTTCTAAGTAAAAATCCTATTTTGCATGATAGATCCAAGCATTATTAGAGATACGTTGATAAGGGTGATATTAGATTAATCAAAATACCTACTAAGGTAAATCCAGCAGATGCCGGAACTAAGGTAATCCCTATTAGTAAGTTTGTTGATTCTTTAAGATTAATTAATCTTGAAGAAGACTGATTTTTTCTATTTTCTGCAGGTAATAAGAGCAAGTGAAATAAGATGTTTGAGTTAGAATCCACAAAAGAGCAGGCACAAAAGACAGCAAAGGTGGAGATTGTAAGATTGGGTTGCTGCATTTTGTGGAAGTCTAGCCCCAAATATATGGCCCAATCATATGACCCAGTTTGATAGTCCAATAATTAGAAGGATCTAGAATTGAAATAAAAAACGTGTTTCTATTTTTAATTTAACAACTTCACCGGATGAAGACACGTGGCATGTTGAAGGTCGTTGGATTGATGAATTAGCTCCTTTCATTTAAAAGAAGCTCAAAACGCTAGGGTTTCAGTTCTAGTCATTTTTCGAGCGGCTGCCTCTCGTTTTTCTTTCTGTAATTTTGGATTTACTCTTTTGATTTGTGAGATCGTTTAGTTGGTTGAGAGAAAAGTGTGTCTGAATGAACTCGTGTGAGTTCTACTAGTTAAGAAGCGGCTGGTTGCTGTTGTTTGTGTTGATGAACTGTGTGTTCATTTTTGTAACTTGAAGTTACGATTTTGGCTGGTGATTTAGTGTATTTGAGCTTAAATCCTTATGGATGCTCAACGGGGACTAGGCGATCTTATTAATCGCTGAACCTCGGGGCTTCGGCTGAAAAATCTTGTATTCTTTTATTGTTTTTCTTCAAATCTACGTTTATACTTGATTTTTGCCTCGAATATTTTTCGGTCTTTAAACTATCCTGAACCTACATTGTACATGCAGAAGACGTAGTAGACATATCTGCCATGAAGTTATATTACCTATATTTATCTATATGCTACGGATTCATGATTCATGTTCTCTATATCTCTTAATTTTTATGGTAATCAAATGACACGAGCAATTAAAAGGACCGATAACTATTGTCAATACCAATTATTGGTGATGGATTTTATATATATCAATATTGCTTATTGAATTTAGTAATAGAAAATTCTATTATGCATATTATCGGCTTGGACCAATTAGGAAAACTTCTTCTCACACTTGATATGAAGAAAAACCAATATACAAATTATAATGGGTAATACATAAGTTCTTATACTATTCATAATAGTTCGTTCGTAGCTTCCCAACACAATTTTTGTGATTCCTTAAGTATATTTGGTTTACTTTGTTAATATGAGTATCAATTAAGTATCTTGTTTTCAATTTTGAAAAGTAAACTAGTTAACTATTTTCTTCAAAATGAAGATGATGAATAAATAAAGGTGAAAGAAATTGGTACTTCTGCATCCAATGAGGATTGCAGTGAATTGGTTAGTGTTAGAAAATTTGTAATATGGCAATTAATAATTTAATATATTCATCTACATAAACGATGTGTGCGTGTGAGTAGCATAGACATTGGTGGTTGATTAGTTTTAGTGAACTACAAGTATGAATATTATATTGTGATACGTGGGATTGAGAATTATTTGATAATGGATCATTATATCTTTCAAATGTGGGGGTATTTAAATTTTTCAATAAATATGCCTTATAGTTATTATTACATCGCTTTTAAAAAGTATTAAAATTGAAATTAAAGATATGTAAGTGAAATACAAGAGTTGAATGGATACACATGTTTAAACATGTGACTAGAATTCAATTTTAAATTTCATGTCTTTATCTTATTATACTTAATCTGACTTTGATATTTTCAGAATATTTATAGAAGATCTTGCAGATGTGCAAGCAAAGATTAAGAGCTTTACGAATTGATGGTACAAAATTATTGTCCAAGAGAGACATGAATAAATTGTAGTTGGAGATAGACATACATAAATCATCGAGTAAGATGGGCTTAAGCCTATAAGAGAGTTACCTCTGAGAGTAACCCAACCTTTGTGATTGAAGATTCTACGAAGAAAGTTCAATGCAGTAGAACCAACCCATACTGTGTGACTTGAAATAACACTATTTTATTTGTACTCATCCCCTGTGGTGATATAGTGCTAATAAATGTAATATTAGGAAGGGTTTAACCCTAAATGAATATCGAGACGATGATTCTAACAGTATAGGTCACACGCTTCTTTGGAGAACTCATCTATGTAAGAGTTGCCATGAGGGCGTGGTTATAGAGATGGACTATTACTAAAATTAAGGTTAGAGTGCATAGCCATTAAGAACACTATCCGCTATGAACTAGAGTCTAAATGGATATTGTGTGTGGAATAAAGAGACCTAATTCAAAGTTTAGTCTATTATGATTCCCTCAAATGGAAATTGTTATTATTAAGTGAAGGTCAAGTCCAAAAGACACCAACACGTATTGCACAGTATTATATTACCACAATATATTATATATTTATCTACTTTGAAATTTTAAAACTTGTGAGGGATTATTGGAAAATAAATAATTTAAGTTTTAAAATTTTAAATTAATACCTTTTAATTTGTTGCTTCCATTTTATTTTCAATTTAATACAAATTAAATTAATAATATTATAGTTTAACATACATTTTAAATGATTTAATTATCGAAAGTGTGAAGGTTAAATTTATCTCTATAAAAGGAAGTGATTTTCATCGAGAAAAACATAACTTGAAAAAATAACTACATCTATATTTCATAATATTTTTTTATATTTTGGCAATTCGATAAATGCTCATTCTTTATCTCCCTGTGGTCTTGCTCATAGAGAGAAAATCGACTCTGAACTATGTGGGTTTTATCTTAAAGTCGTGTAGTGTTGGAAGTACTAGCACGAACGAGATGCAACACGTATTTATAACTATGTCTTTGGTGTGTCTCCCTAAATCTTGCACTTCTAACTCTTCTCATCTTATGTTTATATTAGTATTGAATTATATTTGCATGTTATATAAATTGATTATGTTAATTGATAAAAATCTACACACAAATCATCCTTTTTTTTTTCAACATTTCAAAGTGAGTTTGAGGGAAAATAAGTGTTAGGTAACAATTTTTTTTTTAATTTTTATTTAATGGAATTCCAGAATTTTACTTAGTACTCACCACTGAAGTCCATGCATGATATAAATAGAACTATACATGGACTTGAGGGACTATTTTTATACCTTGCGAATACGTGGCTCCATGTCAACAAGGTTGTCTTGTCCACGTGGCTGACCCATCGAGTCTTTCTAGTCAACTATTAGATTAGCCATTCTACTAAAGTATTGGAACCAACTCTAGGGATGCTTCCTACACAAGTGACGAGGCCTGTGAGATTAGACCAAGGCTCATTCACGTCTCTTCTGTCGAAGCAAATGTGTTGAGGCGAGGAAGCTCCACAAAGATTGAAGCCCATTATAGCAAGTCACAACGCACACGACAAAAATTCTAAACTTATGTATGATTTTTTTTTGGAATGATTAATGGAACATTTGTAATAAGTATAAGACTTTGTTTGTCAACAATTTTTCTACATTTCATCACATTATTTTTTCTACAGTATTTATTTTCAATCACACAATTTTCATTAAAATAATATTACACGTAAATAAAAAACGTTTCCTTCTTTTTCAATCACATATTTCAACATCAATCATTATTCCATAATATATTACATATAAATAACGAGACACAAACAAGCATTAAATGTCAAGTCTTGTCAATAAGGGGCTGCTCTGTGTAAGCATTAAATGCACTACAAGCTAGTCAGGTCAAACTGATGTTTAGGATAAGATGCTTCGATTAAGGAGATGAAGCCACGTAGCTCCTCATCCAATGGATACCATTTTATACATAACACTATAAATACCCCCTTCATGTATCATTTGGAGGCTAATGCAACTCTTAATACTTAAAAGTTACTCTTTGTTTCTAGCTGGTTATACACTTGCTTAGCTTGAATTTGGAGTGCCTTAATCTCTTAGAATTGTTTGTCGGTTGTCAATTATTATACAATCGTTCCCGAAAATATATTACTAAAGTTCGACCATATTTGTATCGTGTCGTAAAATTTCTTCCACTTCTAAACCCGCTCTATTGTCGACTAGCAATCCGTCTATACGTGTTGAAATTTATTTACTTGTACACGAGTCTATACCAAACATGAGTTCAACTTCTAATAGTCTCATTTTTTCAAATTAACTTTCAATAATCTAACTTTCCAGTTGAGAAAATTAAAGAATGATTGTGCCTAATTTTCTATTCGAATTGAAAAGACAACGTGACTTATTGGTTTATTAACAAACAAATTAATGGGATTGACACTAGCGATCCTATAACGTGGAATCAGGTCAATAACTGCTAGTTTGTCCACATTTGAAAGCCCCCGTTTCGCCCCATTAATTTCGATTTCATTACGTTCCATTTTCCTCTCTTCTATTTTCAACCACACATTATCCAAAATTTGTCCTTCTTTTTTAATCACTCATTTAAAAAAAAAAAAATCATTCCACCCATTTTTCATTTTCACAAAATGCCCCCGTTTGTCCCCCATTAATTTTAATTTTATTACATTTCATTTTTCTCTTTCTCCTATTTTCAACTACACAATCTTCCATAAAATAATATTATACATAAATCGAAAATTTTTCCTTCTTTTTCAACCACTCATTTTTTTAAAAATAAAAATATTATTTTACCCAATTTCATTTCCCCAAAATGAGGGCCAAACGGGGCTCAATCTCATTAGATTTAATTATTGAGATTCATTCAAGTTTAAAATTAAATTTGAGCACGAGAATTTTATATTAAAAGTTGCAATAAATTTGACGTTAAGGGGCACGAGAAGAGCCTTGGATCATGAAGCTACACCAACCGGTGCGGTCACTCCTACCAACATAATTAATTCTATTCACACCCCTCCTTTTTTAGGAGGAAAAAATTGCTCATTTTAAGTTACTTATTTTATCCATTGATTTCATTCTTTTAGAGATTGCTTCTAAGACACTGTAACTTTTAACTTTTAAACACATTGAAACCTTCCTTAATATTTGCTAGTTATGAATGAATTGGGTCAAGTTCAATATATTCTATCTTTGTATATTTTCGTAGCTATGTCTCCAACTTTATTTAATCGCATTTTAATTACAATAAATATATTTGATCTTTGTTTATTTTTACATTTATGTCTTCAAATTTATTTCATCGCATTTTAATTATCAACCCTCCATTAATTAGCACATATTGTCCTCGGTAAATTTTGCCATCCAAAAAAATATAATCTAGTTGGAGGGCATAAATAGACTTATTTACATTTTATATTTTTAAATAAATAAATGCAAAAAATCGACAAAATATTAACTTTTTATCTCAAAACATGCCAATATAATATTTAAATAGAATATAAATGATCGAGACCCTTTATCGTAATTAAAATGTGGAGCTCTGAAGGTCTCAAAATACTGATATGAATATAAATTGACTCAATCATACGCCACTTGTATGCACTTGCAAATATAACCATCTACATCGCCAAACAAATTTTCTCAATCAATCATACCATAATTTAAGCAACTTTAATGAAAATATTTCTTTTGTCGATCCGCGTGACTTAGATTTGATGCTTTAGTTTAGGGTCTATTTTGCAATACTTCTAATATTAAGAATATACTTTTGAACATTTTGAATAGTTTTCTATAAGTCTGGTTAGATGAATTTAAGGAAAAAAAATTGATTTAATGTAACTTTCTCGAGCAACTCTTACGTAAGAAATATAAGCAAAAATAAAAATTCTATCAAATGGACTCTTAGTATTATCGACGACTAATGGTTGTTGTTGTTACGTTTATGTATGATATGTAAAAGAGGGATAACTCTATTGCAACAAATTGTTGGAGAAATTTATTGCAAATTTAACACGTGAAAAGTTGAATAGGAAGTTAAAATCGCCTTAATTATTAGGTTGGTAGGTAAATGAGAAGACATTAGAACTTATGATGTACACTCGCAAGCAACTAAATTGTAGTCAAAGTTTCTAGAATATGCTACAAATTATAATCTACTTACTACAAAAAAAAAGTTGTGCTATATATATATATATATATATATATCACAATACACAGATCTATTAATATCAAGTTATTTGATCTATGGATAAATTTTAGCCCCTATTTGACAACTATTTTTACAAAAAAAATTTCAAGCTCATTGTTAACTATATAATTTCGCAATAAAATATTATGTACGTAAATCGAAAATTTCCCTACTTTTGAACTATGCATTCTCCTAAAAATTATCATTCCCAGAAAACACTATTTATAATGTGGTTGTCAAATAGGAGCTTAAACACACTTTGACGATTTGGTATAAACGTCATTTTAACACAAATAAGGATTCACCAATTTATTGAATAAAATGATGAAACTTTGATTTTTTACGAGAACTTGCACAAAATCGAAAGAAGTAAAAATGACAAGAATATTAGAGAATGCTTGATATGCAACACAAATTAGAGAATTCCGATCAACAAACCCTAGCCAAATCGCAAGAGGAAAAGGGCGAAAATGTAATGAACAAGGATTGACAAGGATATTCATGTCATTTCATCAAGAAAAACGTCGGCCTCTAACTATATTCAAACTATAATTTTTTTATGTAGACTACATTTTAATTTTCGTAAAGTTTCAAAATTTTTACTCATTTTTGCACTCATGTCCTCAATTTGATCTCACCGCTTTATTGTTACAAGCATTCAATTAAATTGGCACAACTCATCTCTAACGACGATTTTGGTCAAAATATCTCACTAACGTGTATTAATAAAAATAAAATAAAATAAAATTGTGAATATATTCTAATCATAGCCTCAGATTGAAGTCGATAGAGTCCATCGGGTCAGTCTAGAAAACTCAAGCGTCGGTGACTCAGTTAACTCGGTACACATGGCACTATATATGCTAAACACTTTCCTTCTTATGTACGCACCCCAACAAGGAGAAAAGGATATTTTCCCGGCGGAAAAATGGAAAAGGATAATTGTATATATATTTGCAAAATGTTTGAGCAAATATAGAGAGATAAAGCTAGAGAGAGAGAGGGAGAGAGGTGGGCAATGGGGGACTCCGGCGACTCTGTTTACGTCGATATGGAGTCCACTTCTCTAGCCGGAAAGGTGAAATATTACCCACATTATTCATATCCAGATATTGTTTTTGTTTATTTTTGAGATGCAAATGTGATTTTCACTGTTTAAGAGTGCTATTGACACCTAACTTCCCTTTTATCTGCACATGATGCTAAACAGATATCTCATGTTTCCAAGGATTGTTCACTTGTCCAGAAGCATTTTCTCTGCTTCTCCACAACTTCTGTATCTACCATATCTGTCCTCCTGGGCATCAGGTCTGTGCCTTGATTATTTGATGAGTGATATTACTTGTTATTGTAGCATGAAGTAGGATTGGACATTTGTTCATTGCTGCTGAATGCTTCTATTTGGTTGTTTCTTATTTGGTACTTTTGTTACAAGTTTTTGCAGTTAGGAGCTACTGTAATTGGCACTGATGAACGTACAATATCTGTCGATGATTTGGCTGATCAGATTGCTGAGATTCTTGACTATTTCGGGTGGGTAACTATAATGGTGGTAATTTTAACTGCCCCTTTGAATGCTAGCTAATTTTCATATTGCTTTCTGGTTAACCCTTGTTTCTGGTTACCATGTATTTATATTTTCTGAGTCAGTGAGTTTGTTGGTAGCTTTTTACTGGAACTCGAGCTAATTTCTTCCTCTTCCCTTGCTCTTCTTCTTTGGTTCCTTGTCCAGACTCGGTTCAGTGATGTGCATGGGTGTAACAGCTGGAGCTTATATTCTTTCCCTGTTTGCAGTAAGTTGTTCTCATGGTAGCCCAAGTTCCTCCAGTTGTATGATTATATCCTGTTTTGATCTCAGTTTTTACCAAGTTAATTGTGTTACATTCTGCTGCAGATAAAATACACACAACGTGTAATGGGTTTGATTCTTGTTTCCCCTCTATGTAGAGCTCCATCCTGGTCGGAATGGTTATGTAACAAGGTTTATTTTCTCATTTGATTCCTCTCATACATGTACACACATTTTTGCAGTAGTAGTTTTTTGTATTTCTTTAGAGAAGTGGATGCCGCAAGTTTCTTCTAATGGTGGAGCGTTTGCAGGTGATGTCAAATTTACTATACATTTGTGGAATGTGTGGTTTGGTGAAGGAATTGCTGCTCATGCGGTATTTCGGCAAGGTATTTCTTTACCTCCGTTTTCATATTTCATAGGACTTCTATTATTCATGGGTCGATTGAAGTTCTAATGGTACGACAGGAAGTTCGTGGCAATGCAGACGTCCCAGAATCAGATATGGTTCAATCATGCAGAAGAGTTAGTGCCTTCTTTTCTTACTCTCGATTCTCTTATATTCCAGGACAGGAGAAGTCCAGTATTCATCTAACTTCCATCAAATCAAAACTTATATTGCAGTTATTGGGCGAGAGGCAGAGCCCAAATGTGCTGCGGTTTCTTGAAGCTATTAATGGGTAAATTCTTCCACTAATATTTTCTTGTTATCTCTAAAGAAAGACTTGGGCTCAGGGATGGAAAATGATTAATGTGCAACTGTTCTCACGTAGTTTTAGGTGGAAGCATCAATCTCTAACCTTTTCTGCTTCCAATCTGATTTAGGCTTTATGTATTGTACCTTTTGTACCCAATAGTTCCACATATTAGTATTTGTGATCACCTTAAATAAGCAAGTTTTCTAATAAATAATTGTTTTATGTTAAAAAATTAAAAAAAGAAAAAGAAAAAGAAGGTTATTTTTCACTGTGGTGCTTCCAAAATAAGTAACTTTTTTACTTTAGAAGGTAAGGAAAAATTACATACAGAAATATGTTATGAAACAAAAGGTTTTAAGCTTACCCAAACATTCTTGCATTAAAACTTATAATCTGATGCAGCCATCATAGAGTTAATCTTATAATCTGCTGTCTGCAGGAGACCGGACATTACCCAAGGCCTAAAGAAATTAAAATTTCGATCTCTGATATTTGTTGGAGAAAACTCTCCGTTTCACTCAGAGGCTCTCCATATGACTTCAAAGCTAGATCAGAGATTCAGTGCCTTAGTCGAGGTACGCTAATTCTGAACTGTTTTCTCATGCCTCTTTTTCGAAATGTGTGTGGGACGCGATTTCTTAATCTATGACGTTCATCTATACAGGTTCGAGCAAGTGGTTCAATGGTTACAGAAGAACAACCTGATGCCATGTCAATACCATTGGAATATTTCCTCATGGGCTATGGCTTTTACCGGCCATCTCAGTTCAGTGTCAGCCCGAGAAGCCCCTTGAGCCCAACTAGTATATCGCCAGAGCTTTTCTCGCCAGAAAGCATGGGCGTGAAGCTAAAACCTATAAAAACCAGAATTCCCGAGGAAGTGTGAGTAACAAAGTATACATGTGGCTTGTAGATAAACGAGGACGGATAATTTGCATGGAAATAGAGAGGGAAAAGTTACACAGAGGGCATGGTTAGTTTTTCCCTTTTTCATTTGCATCGTGGGTAGAGATTAGTTTAATTATTTGTAAATCTATTGGATTAATAAACTATTTTTTTATGAATAAATCGGAAAGAAAAATAAAATGTGGGTGAAATATTTTCTTCCTCAGCAATTTGTGTATGCCATTCCCCTTGTGAATTAATAGTAATGTATATGGAAGGCTGAAGCCTAAAATAAGAGAGAATTACATAATCTGAACTGTAGTTGATTCTAAAAAATATTGAGACCCCGTTTGAGCCACATTAACGTAATAATGAGAATGAAAAATATAGTCGTTACGGGTCCCACATAAAAGATAGAAAGTCAAATGTGATGACTTGATGTGATGGATAACGGTCATATTTTTCATTTTAATGGGCAAATAATGGGAAACTAATAGGGGCTGAGATTTGGCATATTAATACTTGCTGATTTAGAGCATATTTGGCAAAGCTGAAATTATAATTTAAGTTGGTTTACCATTTTTATTTTTTATTAGAGAAATATGCACTGTTTGCCCTAGTCTTCGCGAAATGTAATATATCTACCGTCAACATTTTTTTTTTTAAAAGCATAATCTATGTTTCAACCTTTTAATTATGCAGCAACTCGTTACTTCCTTTAGTTTGGCCATTAAATGTTGGATTGTTTATTCTTTTTAAATAAAAAAATTAAAAATAAAGCAATAAAAAAACAAAAAAATTATAAAAATTGCCAACAGATTCCATAATTTTTCAAAAATTACAAATAAAAATCTCAAACAATTAATACATATTAATACATAAAAAGTAAATAAAAATTGGAGGTAGTGGTTGCTGTAGCAATCGGATGTTGACATGGTGGTCGGGTGAGTATTGTTGAAGAAGATGAAACTTTTCTTTTCTTGTTTTTTTTTTTTTTTTTTTCCATGTTGGGAGTTATTTTACTGATTTCTGCTATTTTTGTTTATACAAAGAGAAAAATAAATCTGTCATTTAATGATTAAAGTGGAGGAAATTATGAGTTTTATTACGAGTATACCCTCAAAGTGTAAAATTTAGCATTAATTCCGCTCGTATTCGACAATCATTTTTTGAAAACTCTTTTTTTCTCTTTTTTTACTTACTCATTTTCAATAACATATTCACACAATCCTAAAACTTTCTTCCTATTTTTAATCACATATATATATATATATATATATATATATATATAATCAGTATTCAAAATATTATTTTTTTTCCAACACAATTTCAAGTTTGATAAAGCAAAGGGAGTAAATGGTGCATCTCTCTCCACTTTTATCTTTTTCCCTTTCAATATTTCATGGGCCTACAATTACCAAACAACCTGGACCCTAGGCCCATGTGAATTGGATTGCTTCCAAACTTTGAAATTAGAAAAGCCAGCACCGTGAAAGTACATGGTGCTAAACCAAATCGTTGACATGGCTATCAAATTTGTGATACACATAGGTAGTAGATAAATGGCCATTCTTGAAACGAAGTATTCTCCAAAATTTTTACTTTCGGTTCTAACAAATGAATAATCATTGACCCTTCCTCTTTTATAAGAGACCCATTATAGGCTAATTTTTGTTTTTCGCATGGATTAAAAAATGTAAGGATTTTTTAATCAATAGATAGACTTGTATGTGTGAATAATTGTGTGTTAAATTATAGGCTATCAAAATCGATTGAGCCCAATTAAAGTGATCTAATAAGGCTTCAATTTTGGACTTTAATGTATCCAATTAAAGTATGGGTTTATATATGTGTAGAGACCGGGCTCAAGTCCTAATTCTATGATGGGCCGAATTAGGTCAAACGACGTCCCTATATAAATAGGTTATGGTCCTCGGATTACACGCACGTATTATTCATTCTCTACTGCATTTCATCACAGAGAGGAAAATGCGACTGCGTGTAGATTTGGAAAATTATACCGCGAAATTCATATTGCATTAACCATTTCTGATTCAGGTACGCTTCCGCTTTAATTCTTGTATTTCTTGATGATTTAATATGAAAGATTCGGTAATTTAAAGCATTAAATTATCCAATAAAAAAATCTTATTTAGCCCTTGTTTGAGTCACATTATTTTTATAAGAATGTGTTTTTGAATAATGTATTGATGGAAAATGTGTAGTTAAAAAATAAGGAAAAATTTTGGATTTACATGTAATATTATTTTTTTGAAGAATGTGTGATTGAAATGATGTTAAATTACTGTTTAAAAATGTATTTTTTTGAAATAATATGAGTCTAACAGGGCCTCAATGTTATTGAAAATGTAATTTTTACCAAAAACTTTCTTAGTTTGCCTTTAATAATATTTATATAATTTCAAGATTAAGTGAAAAAAAAATGATTATTACTAAGGAAATTAAATAAAGATATATCAGTAAATAAACAAAACAAAACACTCTAAATAAGGAAACATGACTATATAGTTGAGACAAAAAAAAAATAATAATAATAAGGAAAGTAAACCTATATAAATAGGATAGAGTGAGTAATAAATAAATCTCTAACTTTGAGGATACTTTGTTATAATTAGTTTGTTACTTTCATCTCACAATTATTAATCTGCACCCAAAGCTTAATTTGTTTCAAACATGAATGAGATATCTACCATGTTGATTACTCATATAAATTTGTAAGATGAGATATTATTAATTAATTTTCATTATGTTATTCATCTCCTTAAAATTGTACAGTGTTGCCCAATTCAAGATAACTTTTACAAACTCGACAACACGAAGATACTTGCAAATTCAGTTTTCACACGAACAATGCTCGGCTAATTCTTAGGGTGAACTTCTGAGGAACAAAACTACAAAAGCTACATACCAAAAATGAAACATTAAAAAAAAGTGGAAAATAAGCTATTAAGCTGCCTCATGGGGACATTTCTCTTAAGGCGAGTCACAAGTATTTCAAGATCAATTTGTTCTTAGCCATTGAATTTGGGTCGACATTTAAGTCACACGAAAAGGTAATATAAGTTTCCCCGTCCACAAGGATATGCGTGATATTCACAAGTATTTCAAAGTCATCTTTCTATGTCATGCACACTTATACAATTAATTGAAGTCTCATGATTCACAATCTAATCTCTTTACTTTTAATAAACTTTACGTACCAAACAAAATCATTTTTATTAAAGTATGCAATACGCGTCTTCATGATAAAAACCTTCACTAGGATATTGTCATTGTAACAAATATATAATCAATCAATGATATAAAGAAGAAATGAACAAAACCTCCCTCGGGGCATAGTCCAGTGGTGCAAAAGACAGAGTGAGGTTATCTCACGCCTTACTGACAGCCGCAGTGTAGATGTTCGATTTCTGAGACATGAAATTGGATTCCTTATAAGCGCAGACACATCCCGCTATTTACCTCCCTTACAAAGTTCTATGGTGGGGCGGTGGAGGCCCTCAAGGTTGGAATTCAACTTTTATTTTTTATTTTATTTATTTATTTATTTAAGAAATGAACAAAACCAACCTGAGCTGTGGGCCCTCTACATGATTTTCTTGAACCAATGAAAATAGGTATATTGGATGAAATCATAAGGAACCCTTTTGGTTGGACCTTTCTCTAACAACGTCCATGAATCATTGAGCCCACAAAATCATAACTAAAGACATCACTCACACTCAACCTTTTTAATGTTAGATGGACAAGCTGGAAACTAACACCTACGCTACCCACCCCACTCTCCACCTCCCACTAACAAAAAATTATTGGAGTATTAACCAATCATTTATTAGCAAGAAGAACATGAATTCACATCTAGCTATAGCCCACAAAGAAAATAATATGAGTACAAAAACCCACCAAACAAAAGTAGATAAATCATAAAATAGTACTATACAACTCAATGTCAACTTGCATGGAATATACCGATCCTAAACGCTGAAGAAATATTCAGAAAATCTTTAAAAAAATAAAAATAAAAATACCACCATCAATATTTTTGCACCAACATCGACTTCGACAGTTCTTGATCAGTTTGTACTTCTCAAACTTACCTAGAAATTGCCTTTTCAACTTATGGCCCATAAATTTCTTATTTTGTGTTCGGTAAAAATGGATTGGACAGTACCAAATAGAATTAAACAAGAAAAAAATTCGTACAGCATAGCAAACGCACACTTTGTATCGGTGCTAAGACGCGGCCATTGCCACCACACCGAGCTTCTGAAGATTCAACTTCACAACAGTATCAGTGAACATTTTCGTGTCCTCTCCTGTATTCCCATCTGGTATATCAACTATATAAGACTCCAAAACAATGGTGTAAATCTTCCCCTCTTTGTTGAACTCATTTACAGACGTTACAGATCGATAATTATTCAGCCTATGCTCCCCACCTACAACTCGAAAACTCAGTATATGTTTCTCATCATCCAAAATCTCAAGTCTTTCGGTGCTGGTGGAGGCGGGAAGGCCGGAAACCACCGTCACCTCCCTGATGCTGCCGACACCGCCGTCCCCAGTCATGCGGCAGCTCTTGATAAAGTGCTTGTACTTTTGTGGGTTGTCGAAGCCGCGCACGAAGGGCCATACCGCCTCCGCTGGTGCATCAATCCGCTGCTTAATCAGAGACGTGGTTGTGTTAGGTACTGGGTCGAACAGGTGGTAGGTGCGAATTACAGGCTCCAGCTCTCGAAATTCCTCTTCCGTAAGCCCCTGAGGAATTTGGATTCTGTCCATTTGGTACTTCAATCTTCTCTCTCTCTCTCTATATATATATATATATATGTGTGTGTGTATATATAGAGATATATATGTGAAGAAGATGGAGTGTAGATGAACAGAAAAAATGGGTATATATGGAATTTTCTTGGAGGTTTAGGGAATGGGCGATGGCTTCATTCAACTCTCAAATGTTTCTGTGTATTGGCAGAAATACCCTTCGGACATTAATTTATTACCAACTTGTCAATTGTCTTTTTGCTAAATTGGGGATTGTTGTTTTAAACATTATGACAGCTTGTTGTTTGAGACATATGATAACTATTGACAGTCGTTTACTATGAATAACATTATTCTTTAAAATATTTATTTATTTTTTTCAAAATGTATTTTTTTTATCTTCTTTTCAACCACACATTTTTTATTAAAATAATATTACAGGTAAATCAAAAACTTTTTCTTATTTTTCAACTACACATTTCACATTAGTTTATTATTCTAAAATGCATTTTTATATAAAAATGCCTATCAAACATCCCTAGATATAGAAAGGGAATAATTAACCTGAAAATTTGCATATATAGTCCTCAATATTTAATGTCTCATACCAATTTATCCTCAGACTTAATGTTTAGTCTTCTATGTCACCAACCTTAAAAGTCAATTTGAAGGTTGGGGATAAATCACTAAGAGATGCTGAAAGTTGAGGGACTAATCATGCAATTTTTCCAGATTTTCCCAATTTTGAATTTTATTTATTTATTTATTTTATCTAATTTTATGTATTTAGGTAGGTTTTTCAACGTGAAAGAGATTCACTAAGTACCAAGCAAAAAAGAAAACAAATGCTATTTGAATAGCAACAGCGAGCAAAAGGAGAGCAATCTAAACTGTGAAAATGGGATTGTGAAGAAAACTGAACAAGTATCGTGTTGTAAACGAAGCAAAACAGTATACTTATCAAACTTCAAAATAATTTTTTTTTGAAAATACGTTATAATTCAGATATTTATTGTAAATAACTAAATATTTGAATCCTGCCGTTGAATTTTTTTTCCCCTTTTATGATCAAATAAAAAAAACACACACATATCCCAACAAGAGGAGTCAAAATTCAAATTGATAAATTTTCATGTCATTTTCCTTTCATGCGTGGGTGGATAAGGTAGATGATGTGGCAATTCAAATTGATTCCCATTTTTTTAATAATGAGAATGAAAAATATAATCGTTACAGAATTCACATAAGAAATAAAAAGTCAAATATAATGACTTGATATGATGAATAACGTTCATATTTTTCATTTTTATGGTAAAAAATGAGAATCAAACGGGAGCTAAAATTTAATTAAATGGGAAGAGGGATAAAAAAGGAAAAGAGTCCTAAACGAGGGAGTAGTCGCAATCGTTATAAAGGAAGAAGGTCATATGATTAACATAACTGTCCACGAGATCTATACTTCACCTTGCAGGATTCCCCAAAACACCTTTACTCCAACTCCAAACCCTAACTTTCACTTTTATATTATACGTTTGTGCCTAATTATTTTATATTTGTGCAATAGAGGCCCAGTCAACAATAGCTATGACGACAGAGCGATGTGACCTGATCGGACCTATTTCCGAGAGTTGGGATGATGAATAAAATATCTTCATTTGGGTTGTGGATGCTTCTGGAATGAGGCGGACAGTGGTGGCTCTTGAGGGGATGAGTGCGCAATAACAATCACAAATTGTTTGCTTTGGAGGTTGTTAATGGGTTGGCAGTTTGTGGAATGCTGACGACGGATAATGGTAGGCTGCTGTGGTGGCTGACCAGTGGTGTTTGACGACTAGCGGGGGCTTGGTGATGTAGGGCGAAGTGGGCAGTTGTGGATTTTGGTTATAGGATGGGGTTTGGAAAGGACTTCTATTTTTTATCTTTTATTTTTTGATTTAATTATTTTAGGTTATAAAAGATGGAGTTACTATTTTGCCCCCAACTGGTTAGAATTTGGTCAAAACCAATTTTTTGATCAACTAACAAAAATATAAATATATATGTTCTTTCGTTGTATGAAAATGAAAGACTAGAAATTGCAGTGTAACAAATGAAATGCTATGATGAAAACTGCAAAGAATTGAAAGATTTAAAATCATGATTATAATTATCCCTTGTTTATAAATAATATCTTATTGAGCTCAAGAAAAGTATTTAATATTTAAATATCGGTCAAACAAAAACACCATCTCAAGTTATTTATAAGAATAATGTTATAACAATTTGTAAATTTTTATGCTTAATCGAATTTCAAACAGACTCCTATTTTCTCAGTTGACTCCAACGGTCCGCTTCCAACCGGACCCCACCACAAGTCCGTAAAACGGAATTATTAAATTATAGGAAACTCTAGAATCCTCCATCTTAAAGTAATAAACGATGACGAATAATAATGGAAAGAATCGTTGACAAAGCCAATGTGCTGTTTTGAACACAAATAGCTATTATCTGGAGACACAGACCCAGCTCCATGAAATGACCAAAATGACACTGTACCTTTTCTGTCGACAGACCCAAATGTGGAAATTCAGTATTTTTCTTAATTTCCATTCTTTGTCCTCTTTTCTCACGGCAAAAGTAGTAGCTATTTTATTGACGTTTTGTGTTTGATTCTATGCATGTTTCACTTATCCTTCATTTAAGCAACGTAATAACGTATATCATATTCTTGCGGTGGAACATATCACCATTTAAAACTAACTTTAAGTCTTTTACGTATTTTTAATCTTGGTTAGCAAAGAAGAAAAATGACAAAATATCTCAATAATAATCATAGCGAACATGTTGTTAACCGAGATGAACAAATTCGGTTAACTAATTTTAGAGAGCACGATAATACGACACAAATAGAGCACCTTGACTGCGCTTAAATTAAAGGTCAGCGGCAATTGTTTCAAAATTGAATTTAGCGGCAATTGTTTCAAATTGAAATTCAATGACTCAATTGCATCTAGGATAAAGCTTCATTACCTTCTACGCTCAATGTTCTTGATCTGTTGAAGCGGATGGAGACACTGACAATCTATTAGTTAGACGGACGTGTTAATTAAATTAAATGAAATAGAAGTTCAATGACCCAATTGCAATTAGGATAAAAGACAGCGACCTCTAGTATAATTAAACCTCCCTGAGTCTAAGCATACATGCTTGAGAGGGAGAGAGAGATGCACCATTCGAATTGATTTAGAATTATTTAACATATAGCCGTAGCAAATGAATTCACTTCTTATCAAGCCAATTACTTGTAACGAAAAAATAAAAATTAGATGAAAAGACTGCGAAGATCTAGGAGACTCGCAGGCTCCAAATCAAAGCTGGTTTCGCATCACAATCAAGAAGATTGTAACTTCTTTTTCTTCTCTACTGACCAATCCAGCCAAAAGTGAACGGAACAATCAAAAAGAGAAACTGGAAAGTAAAGCATCGGCTCAAGGTTCAGGTCAAATACATTACAAGACCGAGCAAAACTTTCTCGCAAAATACCCTCTCCTGACCTAACTCGGCCCCAAAAGACAAAAAAGGGAAAAGAAAGAAAAAAGCGAAACCAAATCAAAGAGCAACATTCAGGTGCACATAAGAAAGGAAAACAAACAGTATCTCCAGCAATAAATATCACTTGGTAATATGGGAGATAAACATCCACTTCATACAGTTTCTCTTCAAGACTTGCATTTTATACATGATTTTTTTATATTTAGCAAAATGTAACTGGATACATACTGAACTCTACCAGTTGACGGGACAAATAAAATGAAACTAAGTGGGAAAAAGGATTAACAGTCAGAATGCATTACAAACTAGAAACTATTTTACATTTAAGGAAAAGAATATGAAAAAAATATAATCCCAAAGGGAGTAGAGTGATTACATGCTTCTTTCTGGCCGTTAGTGTGTCTAGCAGTTAGATTACCTTCTAATGAGTGTTCAATTTTTTTGTGGCTCGTTAGACTCTTTCTCTACTTTGGTTAGAGATGTACAGGAGATACCACACAAGCACTGTTGTTTTCCGCAGGAAATTGGGAGTTCTTATTTCACAATTAACTTCATCCTTCGTGTATCAAGAGATCCTTGGATATTAAAGCAATTTTCTGCTTAGCACTGTCTGAGCGGAGATTGTCACCTTTAAACCCAAGCTGGATTTCAGTCGTGTTCAACAAGCAAATTAGATGGAGAGAGGTTACCGTGGAAAAAATTTGATTGAACTGAATGGAAAAAGTGGACTCTGCACTAATAACAAAATATGAGCACAATTGATTACCTCGCTTTGACCATCAGGGGAGAACCACCTTAACAGAATTCCAAGGTGCACAACTGCAGGTATTAACTTGAAAAGCAATGGAGTAGTTACCTGAAATAATATCTATGTTAACAAGTAAAAACCCACTAGAAAATATTGACCAGCAATTTTCCTCTACCTACATTTGCATGACTTGGGATTAATATCGTGTTCAAACCAGCATTTAGGGAGCCATGTTTAGTAGTCATTTATATACCTTTTCAATACACAGAAGTGTAAACTACTGTAGTGCATGATTATAATTTTCTCCAAGCACAAGTTGTTTTCTCAAATATTCCAGTAATAAGTTACCCATCAAAAAACCATTTTTTGTCGAGCCAATGCATTCAAATGCAAAGAGGTGGTAGTTTGATGTAGTGAAATAGATCCCAACACAGTGTATTAAATTTCACGTATAACTACAGTGCTCTTGCATCACACTTTCATGCATGAATATACACGTGCATGCCTGCGTGCGCACACACGAGAGAGAGAGAGAGAGAGAGAGCATCACACTTTCATGCATGAATATACACGTGCATGCCTGCGTGCGCACACACGAGAGAGAGAGAGAGAGAGAGAGAGAGAGAGAGACGAAAGGTTGTTAAATACAATGCAAAAGAATATGCATGTAACTAGCATACTTCTTTCAGCTTACAGCAGATAAAGATTTCTCGATTTACAAATGCCAGTAGTATGTCTACTCATTTCATTTTCATCAGATTTTAAAAGATTTGATGCCAGGAGGTGGTGTTATAAAGAAACCCAGAGATCAGGTAATTGAATTATATAATAGTAAACAACACGAAACAGAACTTCTATTAAGTTCTCCTTATAAAACACTGTCATTAGTTAACCTAACATCTGGATATCCTCACAATGTAGAATGTCTGCGACACCTCTCTCCATATAGAAGCAGCAAACATGATATACATGCATAAAAGCTGTACAAGGATTTCGTACCAGACTGAGAGCTGTCGTTCCAAGAAGCAGTAGGTACACTTTACCCTGAAAATATTTAAAAACAAAAATGCATTTTTAAAACCTAGCACATAAATACCACAAACCTCAAAGTGCTAGCTAGAGGGTTTACAAAGAAAATAAATAAGCCATAAGAAATTAAGATGTAAACTCTTAAAGTTAGATTTTTTCTTTCTGCCCTGATCGCACCATAAAACAGCACATGGGACTTCCGCCCACAAAGCAGGGGAAGCTTACTGATCAAGTTTTAGTATACTGCAACAGTAGCATTTACCTCAACGAGATGGAGATTAGAAGCACGGCTGAGCAGTACAAATGCAAATTCCCCTATTTGAGCCAAAGACAACCCGACCTATATTGCTCAATGACCATGTCTCACCTTGTTATGGAGTCCATGTAAAAATGAAATATTGAAGTATTATTTAAGCAACAAGGTAGAGATCTTACAAGAACTGATGTTTTGTTATTGTAGCCAAACCCCTTGACAACTGCAGAAATTACTATGGTTTTAACAACCACCACCAATATAACTGATGCAAGTAAGATATCAACATGATTCCAGAGAAAATGAACATGGATGAGCATCCCAATGCTAGCCAGGAAAAGAGCAGCAAATATGTTGCGAATAGGTTCAACCTGCATGAATAACAAACCCCAAATGAATGTTGCTGGAAATATGAAATTCTCCACCAGTACACAATGGTAGGGGCAAAATGCTTCTAGCTACCCAGGGGTATACAAGAATTCAAATATAGAATTCTCATAATGACCTACAAACCAAACCTGAAGATATTGATATACACACACATTATACATGTGATACATTACTTTCCAACACATTTTTGAGTGTATAGGAAACTGGAAACATAAAATTGAAATGAGAAAATATGCTACATAATATGCATATATTTTCAAGTTCGTACTCACAAATTAAGTATTATGTGACCTTACTTGTTCAAGTGTATGCTGAGCAAGATCAGTTGTTGATATCATCACTCCGGCAGCAAATGAACCCAATTCTAAACTCAAACCAAGCTTGTCACTACACTGAAATTACATGAACCATCAGACTTCATCACAGTTCACTTTGTGAGGGCTACACACAAAGGGTGGAGGAATTGAGACAAAAGAACAATAACAAATAAATGAATGTCAACAGTGGAATAAGTCTAGAGATAAAACATTGGAAAGAAAACAAACCCAAGCTACAAGCAGGCAAAATGCAACTGAAGCCAACTGATAGAGTTCATTGGTCTGCAAAGGGAAGAATGTCACAAACAAACTAAACTAGAAAGGCAGCAACACGCACATGCTTGTTCAAGTATATTCCAGTGCCCAAAGCAAATCGCACCTGTGATGACAAACTTATCATAAGTTTGAGGAACCAAGGTACACATGTCCGTGAGAATATCGACAGAACAGCCAAGAATGCAATTAACACCACCAACCTGATTGACAGATAATATGTATTATGTTTAACAGGCATGCTCATACAATGTGATATTATTAGATCTTCAACTACTTCCAAAGCCAGGGAAAAGTTAAAGAAGCAAGAAAGCAAGAAATGAAAAGAAAAATAACTTGTAATTCAACTACTGTTTGTTTTTGTGTCGGTCTGATATCTGGCTTGCACATAATAAATGAACACACCAGATCGTGCATATTATCACACCTCAGTCATGCCTAAAGCTCTGACCAAAAGTACCAAACATTTTTGCACTGTAAATCATGCTACCGTATTGTCCAATACTTTTAGGGCCAGATGTTAAGATCTCTCAAGAAACTAAAAGAGGAACTCTACTCCCTTTTTTCGGAAAATCAAGTCAATTGTAAATGAAGAAAAGAAAATAATATACAACAATTCATAGTCATAAAAGTTTCCAATTTATTATGTTATTTAAGTAATACATAGATACGTGCAACCCATTTTAGTAACAGTCAAACTTACGATTTAGTCATGGATATTACTCCCTGAAGAACACCTGAAGTTCCACCCAGGACTGGAAGCATCGCAAACAGTAAACCCACAGCACAGTCCTAAGAGGATTTAACACAATTTTACAAGATTCCTGGGCAACAAAGGCTTGTTCTAAAAGAAGATAAAAATACATGTGTAAAAAGCAGAGTTGCAGAAATTAGTTCAAAAATGATAATAATAAAATAATAATAATAATAATAAATAAAAATTTAACTGGATGCTTTGAACTGCAGGCAAAATAAAGTGAGAGACAAAATACTTATGCCGAGAGTAGAAAAAATAAAATAGGAAGTATTAAGTTGTTTTGCATTGAAAACAGTGGTGTCTCATATAAAAAATTAACTAGATAATATGGATACCTGCAAAATGAGAGTGCCGATAGTAACTTGGCCATGAAGAGCATTAGTACTGTTTTTCTCCATCAAAAACTTGTATACCTATAAATCAGAATGTTTTGACCGTCAGAAAAAAATATTCAGGAATATTGACAGTAGTACATTAAACAAAGAAGCTAATGCACAGATCTTACAACTGCAGTAGATGACATGGAGAGAAATGCACCAACAAATACCCCCTCCGAAGTCCGACCACCACATGACTGCACGTAAGCAAGTGAAGTTACACACTCCAGTTTGCAGCAAAGATTACTGAATAAGAATTGGAGTGACCATTACAATCAATAAACTTGCAGCAGGGAAGCCATTGTTAAGAGCCTCGAAGCTTTAACTTCAACTTAAGAGCACGTTTGGGTGGGCTTATATATAAGCTAATAAGCCTACCTAAACATGATCTAAGGTGCATGCCTCATGAAGACCAAGGTGAACGCTTCTTAGTCTCGCCCTTTCTGCGTCTCAGACTCAGCCCTCTGGACTAGTAGTTTTTTTAAAATCCTAGAACATTTTATGGCTTTCTTGGATAATTAAAGTCTACATTATCCACATTGCAAGCTTGATCCTAAAAGTTCGATATTTAAAACTTTGTGCATGTAATTAAAACAGTCACAACAACCCAAATGGAATTATTGTCCAATTTAAACCCACCAAGGCTATAATTCCACAGAGGCACATAAATAGGAGAATTTGGAGTAAGCCTCCAAGAATAGCAACTGCTCGTACAACTCGAAGCTGTCATGAGAGAAAAGTGGATTGTTATTTAGTTTCTAGAATGATCATTAGTTGAATTTTAGGCATCAAAGTTAACGAAACAAATAAAAAAGTACAAAGCAGCCAATAGCACTGGCCAACCTTTGTTGTGGAGAACTCCAGACCCAAAGCAAAAAGAAGAAAGATTACACCAAACTGAGCCACTGTCTCGACCTGCATGAATAAGATACACTGAGATGATGAAAAGTGTAATCTCATATTAATTATATGGTAACATCGTGGAACATCATTTGGACAAGTTCTTCATACAAAAGTGTGCTAACACAGAACAAGATAATTATGAGTAATTAGGAGATGAAGCATTAAAAAACATTAAGACCCAATGAGTTTAATCATTTACTTTATGTTTTTAAATTATCAAAATGTGCATTGTTCAATCACTTGGGCTTTAGCAACTATCTGTGGGAAAGAAGAATTGGTTTTGGCTTTTAGTAGCTAAAGTTTATTGAAAGATGGAATTGTATTAACTTTTATTCCCTGTGACCAACATTGAGCCCTTGTTTGAGCCCCATTTTTTATTTCTATTTTTATTTTTATTTTGTGTGTGTGTGTTTGGGG